ACTCTCTCTTCCCACTTCCTGTTTACCTACGCTCAATATTTTTCTCCAATATTTTCTTACCGAAAATGTTACTGGAAAATGTTTTTTTACCGCTACTACACACCATTCGAGGTACTTTTGATATAATTCATTACAACTTGGATTGTCTACTTTATCCTCAGCTCAAGGAGTAACATAGTCAATTATAAATCGAATCGTTTCTACTTTCATTTTAGTTACAGGACTTTTTCTTGGACTCCATTTTGATAATCACGGCTAAGAAGGTATGACATGTCAAAATATGTATTATCTCTACAATGTGCGGATACGTCAAAACAACTGTTCGCATATCTTTCTATTTTCAGTGGAGCATCATGATTACTCGTAACCATAAACGCAGAGAAATCATTTATTTGTATGGTTTCAAGGCCTTTTCGTTCTATAGCCACCCTCCCATTTGTTATGAGGTCTTTAAGATGGTCATTAAATCTATGCCATTCTCACTAGACTTAAATACCCATGTTGTTATATCTCCTTTCTGAATACAGGCAACTGTAGCCTGGTTTGCTTCATAAACTTCAACACGAGAATATTTTTTACATGAATTATACATATCTAATAAGTCGCCCCATACAAAATGGTCATTTGGGTCTGAAATTCTGAGTCGGTTTAATTTAACAGGAATTAATGAATCTGTTTCTCTGGAGGCAAGCTTTAATGAGGGTTTTCTCCCTCCCAACTCATTTTTTGCATTCTTGCTGGTATGTTTCCGATCAGTGTGATGGGGAGATACGCGATAATAGAAATATGTCAGGAGTGCCATCAGATGGATATGAGAGATTATATCCTTTGATCTTCTTTTCTTTAAGCAGTTTCTCTACAATTCAAACTCATGGTTTTGCCATTTTCATCATATAGGATGGCTTGATTTGTATTTTTTATTTCAGGAACAACTTGGAGAGGACTCTCTATGGTTGGCTGACTCTATACATTATAATGATGCCAGCCTGAATTAAAGTTGTTTGTCGAGATTAGTAAATTTTATCATGTCGAAATTGTCAAAATTATTTTTACCATTTTTGCAATAACCTTTTTATTTTTGGCAAGCAACTTTAACTTGAATTATCATAATCTGGATTGATTGTAATTTTTTTTTAAAAAAAAATTTATCAATATATAACTTTATAAAATAGTAACTATATTTTTATTGCTTAAAGTCATACTTTCTTATATTTTATATTGTTTATAATAAAAAATTTTCAAAAACCGCATTTTATCAGTTAGTACTTTATACAAGAATTCCAGTTTTTTATTGGTTGAATTTCAGATCATATAATATAGAATCAGAAAATTGAAACAAAATCATATAATTATTAAGTATAGATTTTTAGCGCTATAGATTATAGAAATCTTTTTTAGATTGATTGGAAGGAAAAGCTTCAGGAATTTGATCATCAAGTTGGTGTTTATTACTACTAAATAATTTTTCGAGTCATAAGCTAGAAAATCTAACTCTTTTATACTGTATGTTGATGTTTATTTTTTACCTACTAACACAACATCAAAACTTCAATCAATGGATGCTGAAATAATTATGGCTTTTAAAAAACATTATTGGCATTATCATATTAGGTTATTATAAATTTTTAAATTTATTATTTTATTATTTTCATAAATCAATTACTGAACTTTTTTATTTTAGGTGGATGTTAGAGCAAGTTGAAGCGGGCCAGCTTGTACAAGATTTAAAATGAATGTTTTACAAGCTGTTACGCGAATTTTTGCGCATGTGATTTCCGATATTATATGATGATCCGATGAAATTCGGTACATTTGTGTACATGTCGATTGGTGATATTATGTGCCGATTTATATCGATATACAACTGTTGGTTTGTGTACACCAGATTAACCTAATAGAAGATATTGATTTTATTTATTTTATTTTATTATTTTTATATAAGTAGTATTATTATATTGTCCATATCATTATTGTTTATATTATTTATTTTCTTTATTTGTATTGTTTATATATATATAAGATTTTATTAGAAGTTATTGTAGGGAAATTAGCTCAATAGTAATTAACCGTCTAAAATTGTCATTTGTACTTAATTAAAAGTGGCTTACAATTGTATTGATATATATCACGATGAAACTTTGACAATAGAAAATCAATAACCATCAATAGACGTCTATAGATTAGATTTCGCCCTGATAACAGAAAAAAAAAGAGATGACAGTTAGATATAAATAGACCTTATTTTAACTCTTTGATAAAGCAGTTACCATATAGCTATTTTTTGTAATTATTTATCGTTAAATATCTTTAAGATATATTTTCTATTCTTTTCTGTCACTTTTTATCACCTGGTTGTAAAGATCCGAATTTACACCTGTTTAATAAAATCGTTATATTTGGTCAATATCACACGTTGTTCCTAACAGTCATATAATAGTTGTTGTTATAACTATTGCGTAATTCCAGTTATCGTATTTTATAGTGTTTACCTTGACGATTCTTAACGAACAATACCGGAAGTACCTTGGATAGGTAGTATTGAGTAAGAATTTTGTTGGTATTCGTGTAGTTATACGATATAAGTCATCCGCCATTCGTCCCTTAATTACCACCATTATTCGGTAACAAAGCAATCCAATACATTATTCGGCCAATACTATTCAAAATTATTGGAATCATACTGAAATTCTTCCCAATACTTTTCCTCCGGATGACATTTATGAAGATGATATTGATGATGAGCTTGGTAAAGCAATTGAAGCTCTAACAGAATGCAAGTAAAGGAATTTTTAACTATTCCTGATGAAGACATAGTTTATTTGATTCCAGAATCAAATTATTTCAGATTATTTAAAAGTGGGTCAGATGCAGATCATCTAGATGAAGTAGACGATAGTACCGAAGTAGAAACTATTTGCATTAACGAAGCATTAAAAGCTTAAAAACTGTACATACATTTTTAATTCAACAAGAGAATGCAAGTGGTTATATGAAATTAATGGATAATTTATTAAAAGGGAACAAATTAATTCAATGCTATAGATAAATATTTTAGATAGGATTAATTTTCGGATTTCTTAATAATAATAAATAAATATAGTAATCGTTAAAATCATTATATAAATAAATCACGTGTCAATTTTATAAATGCACACTTGTACCAATCCCAAGGGGGGTGCATTTATGGACTGTAATTAATTGTTAATTTAATATTAGTCTTATAAAATTTAAAAAATCGGACTGGTGAAATCATCGGTGGTGACAATCACCACTGGTGACATTTTGACATTCTCAAATTTTAATATTAAAAAGAGTGTATTATGAACTTCTTATAAATAAAATTTCAGCTTCTTAACATTTATAGTTATTGAGATATTCAGATTTTTATCCGCGTAAATTTTTTCTTATATTGCGTAATTTCATCATTATTTTTTTTTTAAAAAAAAATAGTTCTAACCTAATAAATAAACGCAATCAAATACTCGACGAGCATTTCAAATGATGCATGTTCAATTAATATATTACGTATAACGGTAGCCCAAAGGATCTGGTCAACAGGATTACGGGAGTCGTAAAGGTGGATTAATTCATGGAAACTTCATATGGACAATTCATTGTTTGAAACTGGTTTGACTAGAGGAAGGAAAAATAGTATGGTTCAAATCATGAATAAATTCCTTTCGCCGATTAAATGACGGGATTTGTTTATAGGAATGATAATCACCTATCAAACGTACTTAATTTTTATAATCATGTATTAAAATTTCCTAATTTTTAGGAATTTTACTGAATTAGGAATTTTTTTTTAGGAAAAATATATGATTATATTTAGAATTCCTAAAAATTAGGAAATTTTTTTAGGAAAAATACATGATTATTTAATTTTTATCGTAGTTTTGGTTAATTATTTAAATATTTAGTATTGAAATATGTAACATGATATAAGGCCATTTCTCTTGTCCGAAATGAAGATATTCGTCAGTGCACTGAACAACTAGTGTTTTTATTATACAGTATATCGTTATTTTGTGACCTGTTATTTTGTTTGTATGAACAGTTGATATTATTTATTATGCTATGTACAACATAAAAAAACGAGCTTGTTTTGGGATTGAAATATCTGGAGAGAACTTTATGAATAAGATGGAAATGATGCATCTTTATGTTTATACACTATAAATAGTTATTGCATTTTAAATTTCCCAATGGTTAAAATGTTATAAATTTGGAAAATATTAAAGAAATATAAGTATATACAGGAAATTGTTTATTTGACGTATACACTTATTTAGCATTTAAATTTAAAATTTAAAAACATTTTTTTTTTCCCATTATGTAAATTATGTAAAATAAAAATTAAATATGATATATTATATTTTATTTATTAAAATTTTATTGCAAATTAAATGTTTGGAGGAAAAAAAAATAATAATTTATATTTATTTAAATATAATATTGTATGTTTTCGGTTAAATGGTGATTTGGGTAAAGGCGAAATGGAAGCTGCTAAACGGAGTCTATTAATTTCATGTATATATATATACTGTATATTATATACATACATATATATATATATACTCGGTCTGCTAATAATCTAACTAAGGCCAGACCAATTGGATTTTCTGTTTAACAAGAGATTTTATTGAAAAAAGAGAGGGAGGGGAGGGGCCAAAAATAATTTACAAAATTTTTTAAATTATTTTACTATTAAAATTTTGAAAATAAGAGAGGAAAAGTAATAAAAAAAAAAATCTAAAAATTAGATTTCCATGGGGGGATTATATAAAAAAATTTTTTTTTTTAATATCTATATGAAACCAAAATTTTTGAGGAGGGGTGGGAGGGGATTTAAAAAAAACTGATAAAATTTTGCTTTTTTTTGGTGTCTATTTAAATTTTTTTGGGTGAGGTTTTGTTAAACAGAAAATCAAATTGGTCCGGCCTAATTGTGTGAAATATAAAATTTCCTAATAAATATTGCTAGAATTTAAGATCACATTTCACATTTTCCGTTCGGTGATGGGTATATCGATAAATTCATCGAACAAACGTTTATATTCTTCATCAAGGTTATTTGTATTATCAGATGGTTGATTTGATGAACCTTCATCAGCTTGTCGAAATGCAATAACATTTGGTCTTAGTCTCTTATAATCCTCAAAAATTTTTGTATATTCATCTTTAACTTTTTCCGAGGCGATTTTCCAAAGTGATGAAAAATAATTTTCACGACTTTCTTTCCTTCTTTTTTTTTTAACTTTGAATGCTTCGCTACAATCAATCATAAAAATCATATACGAATTTTTTAAAGGACGTTTATATTTTCGTTTGATACTTCGATCAATTATCTCTTGAGCAGTTGATACTTTAATCTTGTGAAATTTATCAGGTTCTGTAAGAACAATGACGCAAGAAATTTCGGGAATAAGATACACTTCGTTTGTTTTGAGCATTTTGGGAGAGAAAATTTTTTGTGGATGGTGGAAAAAAAGTTACGTGTTTATATACAAAAGATCGGCAACTTATCAAAAATGATCTGAAACCTATTAACCAAATTAATATATTTCAAGACAATTAATAAAATCAAATTTTTTTATAATACCTTGAGATTTAGTACGACTACTTCCAGTAACACAAATGATTTTGCGTAATTTCTCATGAAAAAAGATTCTTTTTTAAACCATCAAAACAAATTTATAAGCTGTTCGTATATTGTATGTATTTTTGTCCTCTCTATAAACTTTTCCTAGATCACTAAGAAGATTATGAATTTCGTTTTTGGAATCATTAAATTAAAAATTATGCATGTTCACGTGAAGAGTGATGTTTATGTAAAGCACAATAATACACCTTCATAACAGGTAAATGATATTAATCTTAAACCACGTAGTATTTTCGGAGTATAAAGAAGAAATGCAAGAAACACGTACTTTGCATCCTTTAAAAGGCCGCGAAAAAAAGTGTTTTCGTAATAAACAGATCGACAAAAACTTATCCAAAATTTGAGCTCAAGACATTAGTAAAATTAATCATTTTCATAATACCTTGAGATTCCTAGTACGACTACCCCCAGTAACACCAAATAACTTCTGATAAAAAAAACTTCCGTTATAAACTTGTTAGAATATTAAAAGACAGTAAATTCACCGCATTAATTATCACAATAAGTACTATATTATAACTATTTATATTATACATTCGGTGTGACAGTTAAATCTAGTGAATCAAAAAATTCTCACTCTCATGTGATATTACGCAATTTCTGCCGCAGTGTCAATTTGCAAATAAATACGCTTCGTTTTTTTTCAGTTCCTTTTTACATTCCTTTCTGCATCTTATCAGACTGAAAATATTTTTTTTTCTTTTTTTTTCTTTTTTTTTCTTTTTTTCTTTTTTATAATTTAACGTGATAAAAATGCAGTGTTTTTATAACTTTAAAAAGGACACGTCTGAAAAACAAATCATAGTTTTAAAACCAAATTATGAGTTTTTAATGTGGAAACTCCAAATTAACACCCCAAAAAATATGAACAATATTATGAACCCACTCTCTCTCTTTTACGATCATTATGCAGAAGCAACGAAGAATTACTCACAAAAAAAATCTATTGAAAAATTTAAGTCAGAAATTATCAAGGCTTGGAATAATGCAGATAGAGAAGTTCGTATAAAATACAATGAACTTGCTTCACTGCTTTTTAATGCAATGCAAATTAATAATTTAGGTATTTATGGAGAAATTTTCTTTTTTTACTTTTTTTTATTTTATTTTTTTTTTTTTAAAAAAAATTAATTAGATGCTTATTTGATAGGGATGAATTTTGCTATGAAAGTCTATTTCAAACCTGAAATTGAAATCTTTTTTGATAAAAGAATAAATACATCAAAGACTCTTTTGAATTTGCCGAAAAAGCAAAAAGTTTATTTAATTTTGTGTGAAGTAATTTCGGATACAAAATCAGTATTTATAAAATTATTAATTCAATAGATTAATTAATATGTTTAAATTTTTATTTATGTACTTTATATATTTTTATTTATGTTTTTTATTTGTTTTATTTATGGTTTAATTTATGTTTTATTCTTCTCTGTGTGTTTTTTTTTATTTTGTATGTTCCTTACTTATGCTTATGCTATAGATCAGTAGATATATGTTATACACAAGATTTTTCTTGTCTTATTTTTTTTATTATAGAATTTTTTTTATTTTTTAAAGGAAAAAAAAATTAATTTTCGCGTTTTTATTTAGAAAAAAACTAACTTTATTTAAATGGATTAAGTAAAAATTTTGTTCGAATATACGGTAAAACTAATGTTTAACCAATTACATTTTAATAATTGTATTTGCTAAAACATACTGTATATAAATTTAACCGATCAGAATACAGAATTGGATAATATTATTAACCGTAAGTGCTATAAGATATTATCATGTGATTTCATGATGTTTGAAATAATAGTCTATTAATAGAAAGAATATATAAAATGAAAGATATATTTATATTATTATTACAAACAATATCAAAAAAAAAAAAAACATTAAAAAATCAAGATTGTCATGTCAATATCATATGGGGGTCAATTTATTATGGTGTTAATAAACAAAAAAAAAGATTTTCATAGAATATTATACCTACTAATATTCTTAAATAATAGTTTTCGTAGATCAAAGCGCTGTAAAAGTTCGATATTAAAACTAAAATAAATCACAATAATATTCAAACGGGCATTTTGAAAAAAATTTAATTGATCAATGATTTATTAACATTATACCTTTGCATTATTACATACAAAATGCTTATACACGTGAGAAACACTTGCGTCACCAAGCAGGTTGTCACACATTATTCAAACTAATAAAAATTAGTAGTGATTTAAAAAAACGTGATACCGGAAATAATATATAAATACCCTTATTTCTCAAAATACGTTGCGTTCATTGTCCGTTTTAACTGATGATCAACCATGCTATCTAAAGTAAAAATTCTTTTAGATAGGACCGAACCTTCAAATAGGTTACACGTTCTTGCTCTTGATCTGGAAACTCAAAGTTATTTGAGTATTAAAATTTCCTCCCCCGAAGAAATTATTGAACGTGATATTAAACGTAATTATAAAGACATTCTTAATGCATACATGCTATTTATGATTGATTTTCAAACTGCATTCAAAGCAGCAAAAAAATCAAATAAGCAATTTCGTAGTAATTCAAAGTCATTTAAGAAACCTTTATTATTTTGGGGATCTTCACCAAGCGAAGTCACAGATGAATATAAGAGGATTTTTCAAAATTATAAAAAATTAAAACCAAAAGTTCGTGATTTCATTCCCTTCCGCCCTAAGGAAAATGCAAATAAAAATAACGATCAACCGGAACTTGAAAAAGGTCAAGATAAATCGCTAAACGATATAAATAGTTTAACCCCTCAACCAGAAGCTTTTCAATCCGACAATCTCAAAATTGACCAAAATAATTCGCCTAATGATTTTCTTCAACATGAATTTATCCGAAACCCTTCTTTTGACTATTTTGATTCTGTATATAATGATGAAAATTTAGGTGTGTGTTAAATAATCTATAATAATATTTTTAGAATAATTCATCTTACACAATTTTCAATTTGAAAAATTCTGATATTAGATCAAGATAATTCGTTCAATAGCGCAAATGGTCAACCAGAAACTATTCATTTTGAATCTTTCGAAAATTCATCAGGTCAAAATAGTTACATAGATTACGTTAATCTTCAATTAGAAACTATTCCTGAAAATGCATATTTAACAATTAATATAGGAGAGAATGAGAATTTGTTTTATTTGGGTAAATCAATTTAAATAATATTTCATATGCATCATTTTGTCAATGTCTTAATCTGCCTAACATGCAAATAATAATTTCAATTTGAAAATTTCGATTCTAGATCAAGACGATTCTTCTGACAACACACATAATTTGATTCTTCAGCCACAGTTTAAAAATTTCGAAGCTACATTTCAAAACGACAATTATACGAATAATCTTCTCTTTCCATCGGAAACTATTCACTATCCTTTTGCTGATTTCGAAATTGACTATTAGCGTTACACAACTTCGTATAGATTTCTTACACAATATAGTAAAGTAAGCAATATATGAATGATTCAACATGCAATATGTTTTAATATTATAGCACAATTTGAATATCTAATATATGAATAATACGTATATGAATGATTAAGGTTAGTTAATAATGTTAATAATCCAATAATGAATTCGTAACATCGTAATTCGTAACATCGTAATATTAGAAAAAAAAAATAATTCACGATATGGATAAATATTTAAGTTAATTCTTTTTAAGATATAGAACCATTGTATTTTTTATTGATAAGAAATTTATTTTCGTTTATTATGAATCACTATAAATTAGTATAATTATATATCGATACATTACATAAAATTATGTTACGCTTGCGAATGCGAGACAGAATTATTTCAAATTTCAGTTTACTACTACTCGTGCAAATCTTAATCGTAAGTTTGATTAGTATATTGGTTTTGGAACCTCGCATCACTCGGTTTAACTCTTTTCGTCATATTTCATACACATATGCATAAAAACCATATGAAATATGCATCAAAATTATTTAAATTTAGCAATTAGTTAATTATTTATTTACTTATTATATTGTTATTTTTATTTTTGTTTTTATGTGTGGAACAACGGGGTACGCTTGACAAGTTAATTTGACCAAGTATTGATTTGCAGCACGATAATTTGATTTTCCTTTTATTTGCGTATCATTTTAACAATAAATGTATTATATAGTAATGATATGTAATAAAATTTATTTTATACGATATTTAATTTTTCATTTTCTAGATAAGAAGCTGAAATTTACTTTAAAATCCTGGAAGCCAAAAAAGAAGGAATTTTAATTTAAATCAATCTTTTCCTAAAGAATAAGAAAAAAAGAAATCGCCTTCCTTCTAAATAATGGAAAAAAAGAAAAACTCAAAAAAATGTTTGAATGAGACTTTACAAGCGTGTTACTATGCGTGATAGCTGGATTTATATTCTTAAAATTTCTTTCTTTAAAATAAAGGAAAACTAAGTCATACTTAACGAAATATTTAATGCTTTGTATACAATTTTTATAAAAGCTCAACGTTCATGACTCCTGTCGACATAAAGGTAAATAGGTGTCATGTTCAGAGCATACAATGTTTTGACGTGATTAGTTAATCGCACAGCGAAAGAAATAGTATGCAATAAGTTAGTACTGCAGGAATTGAATAATAAAGATGGATAGCTCAGATTGTTCTATTTTACTGATATAATTAGTATTAACTGCATAATTGGTTAGTATTAAACAGTTGTGCGTTTTCAGAATCATAATTTAATGCAGTTAAAAGTTTCAACAATAATTGTTATTCTATTGGCTTGCAGCTTGCTGTATGTAAGTGGGCGGTAACGAGGAATTTGTTGATTTGTTATTATAATTAAAAAACGATTGGCTTTTGTTCTAGATTCTAGAACCACAATAATATTTATTACGAAGAAAATAAAATAAGCATTCAATAAATATTGGTTCTACAGTATATGTTATATCATAGCGCCCATATTTAAAAGCGTTTCAGCATGTATATTACTAATAAATACAAAAGTGCCGAGAAGATAATATTATATATCCCGGATTATTTGTAGATGGTTTATGATAACATTATATGTTTATATTAAATTTATAAGTTCATTGTAATTTAGACAACTTATGGCTGCATTATTCAAAGCTTTGACAAGTTTCCGATTCAAAATTTTCAACTTTATCTTTACAATTTTCGTGAAGGGTTCATTGTTCCGTATAATGAGCTTAATTCGATTGGAAGTTCCAAATTAATGATATTTGTTTCAATGTAATGAAAATTATAAAAGAATAAAATTCTTTGAGTCTGTTTAAACCTTCATTTATATATATTAAAGGTTGGATAAATTTGGAAATTTTAAAAATATAACAAATGGAATGTTTTTTATATTACCTTGAATATTCTCAATTAGTAGAAATTCAGAATGATATAGGATCTTTAATTTTCATTAATGTCTTGATTTCAACTAATTTGGTAATATAATTTGCAGATCTTTAATTAGCGTAACCTGAAAAAATGTCAGCATTACGCAAATTAAAAGTATGTCACATGTGACAGATAAAGCGTGACGAATAGGATTTTGATACAATAAAATGGAAAAACGAAGGGGAATGACAGAGATGATGAAAAAGTCACGTGGATTTCGTGTTTTTTTTCAAGCTGGATAGAGAATCTTTAATTCTCATTAATTACTTGATTTCAACTAATTTGGTAGTATTATTTGCAGATCTTTGATCGAATATATAAGCTTCCCAATATTAAAAATTAATTTTCTTCATCACGAAAATAATATATGAAATTTTAAAAATGTCAAAAATACAAATTTTCTTGAATACTGAAGACTCTTCAGAACGATTATACGTCGTCGCTCTTGCACTTAAGACTCATACATTCTTTAACATTAAAATATCATCTCCAAAAGAAATAATAGGAAAATATAAAGATTCCTTAAAGAATGGATATATGATTTTTATGGTTGATTGTAACGAAGCATTTAAAATTGCAAAATCAGAAATAAATTTTCGTAAAAATTCTGAATGTTTTAAAGATTTTTCATCACTTTGGGCTAAAGCACCAAAAAAAGTTAAAAATGAATATAAACAGGTCTTTATTAATTATAGGAAATTAATCCCAATAAATCAAAATTTTATTGCATTTCAATATCAAGAAAATGCGAGTAAAAATATCAATGAAAAACTCATTTTAAAAAATTCCAAGGTTCAAGATGATTCGTCCAACAACAGCTTTAATTCTCAACCAGAAACTACTCAATTTGAAAATTTCGAAAATATATTGAACCAAAATAATTCATCTAATCACTTTTTTCAATCTACTGGCAATGTTGATTTTGCAAACAATATTTTAGAAGGGAATGAAAATTTGTTTCATTTAGGTATGTGCTTATGTATGTTAATTATTTTTTTAATCTTTTAATTCTCCTAACATTAATGATAACTTTGTTTCTCAGTTCGATTTGAAAATTCTGACGACTCTATTATTATAAATAACGTGAATTATCAACCAGAAGCTGCTCAATTTGAAGCAGCGTTAGTTCAAGATAGTTATAATGACATTATTCCCGACAAAACTGGTATTGCAGAGGAGAATGGGAATTTGTTTTACTTAGGTATGTTGTTAAACAAAATTATTTACATTATTTGATGAATTCAACCAACACCTCACTAAATTTGAAAATTTCGATGTTATATTAATTTAGACTCAAATAACTTGGTTTCTCAACCGGAAGCTATTCAATTTGAAAACTTTGAAGCTACGTTAGGTCAAAATAATTCACTTAATAAGACAAATAATTTCATTCAACCAGAATTTATTCAATATAATAATATTTATTTAGGTAAGCCGACATTACTTTATTTTTGTTACAAAGATTCGTGTTAATCGATATGAATCTATTAAAGATTATGGAATATTCAATCTTTCGGTTCCGCAACTTTTATATGATTAAGAATTAATTAATTATTTTATGATTTTTACTCATTTATATAATATATAGATATAAAGATATGTGTATCTAGTAATATTTCTTAAATTCATTTTTTACGCTTTATAAATTCAATATATTAATTAACAGATAAATTTTTAGTAAATTTAATATATCGAAATTTATCATAATATATACACATTATTTTTGTAATTAAACGACAGATTTTGTTAATTAATGGGAACAAAAGCGATACAAGATTTCATGAGAACTGAGAAGCGAGAGTACGTTAAACTAACAAACCTATTATCAAATTTCAGAATTATAGAAAGTAGTATTCTCAACAAATCGCTTTGATGACAATTTTATACATTGACTAAATAACTTAACAAAAATATTTTTCATTGTTGTTCATGAAAGTTATAACCTTCGTCCGTAATGCGAGTAAATATGCTTGCAAACTTTTTGTAAATTATTACAAATGTAACCAGAATCAACAAAATATTGTATTAGGAATCTCTTCATCTATATTTAAATTTTTGTATAATAAAATTTTTAATTTTGTGGTTAATATGAGATTAGTAACTAGCTTGCTATCTTAGAACTCTTAATTTTTACATGTAATCGAAAAAAAGATTTGGTTATAAAATAAATTGGGAAGTTAAGAAACATAAAGAAATAAACCAAAATTTATGAAATAAACTAAGTTATAAATATATGGATAATACTAGATAACGGAATAAACTAAGTTATAGATAATAACTACGCTATACTGACATAACGTTTAAACTACGCTATCAATTAAATGTTATCAAAAAAATAAACTACGAAATTTCAAATAATTTACATATGATTTTCTTACATATGTCGACGTTTTAAACTACGATTCGATTAAAATGTCATCAAAAAAGTTACATACCGTTTAAACTACGCTATCAATTAAATGTTATCATAAAATTTACATATGATTTTTTTACAAAAATGCCATCAAAAAAGTTACGTATGTTTTTTTAAATATTCCGAACGTTCGAAGTTTAAACTACGATAATAATTAAATGTCATAATGCCATCAAAAAATCTTAGTGGAAGTTATGCTTATCTATAATATAAATCCATAGGTGAAATCATAGTGTATATAAGTAATTCTTATCTTATTGTAGTCGCATTCGCCTCAGTAACGGTTGATGATGATTTGAATAATAAATCTAAAAACCTTTGAGACTTTACGATTATCTTTTTGAGAGTAGTTATTTTTGGTTATTCTTGGAATAAAAGTGATATCGATGTTATACATCAGATACGTCGAGATTGGAAATTCGTTCATAACTAATTTATTTGTGTAAAAATTTTAAATTAATATTATAAAAACTTTTGATGCTATAAGTTTGTATATTTAAATAGTTACCGAATTTTAACTGAAAAGCTAATTTTTCGTATACATCATGAATTTGTTTTCCAGCACAATTCCAAGTTTTCCGAATTTCCACGCTTTGTTCAACTCCGTTTCTAATAGGTCTTTGCATATATTTTTTTTGAGCTGCTAAATAGTGACGGTAAAAAAGTAGGAATCCGTTTATGTTCTTTACCCGTCTGTTATTTCTCTTAGTACGTCTTACATATCTACTGTTAGCAATAATTGAAGGAAATTCCCACATCAAAAATTCGCAATTTGGCTTAAGAACCAGAATGTTTCTACAATGATGCTTATCGAATTTTATTAATGTTCGAGTAGAGTAGTTAGAGATCATTATTCCTACTCATACATTAAATATTTTCGTTTATTTCAAAGGATAGGAATTCGTGGTTTATTTAAATAATAGATTTGTTATTCGTTTATAGAAAGATCATCTAAAATGTTTAAAAAGGATTACTAAATTTATTCTCATTAACCCTGAGACAACTAAATTAGGCGCATTGTCAGTAACAACAAAATATATAATTCCCTGGCTTCAACTTTTTTGTAAATGTGTACCATTATGCAGCTTTGTGCAAGTTATACGATATGCAATTGCATATTCTAATCATGTATATAAATAATTAGTTTCTCAAAATATTTTATGATAATAAGAAATGGTCGAGCCACTACCAACAATTTTTCTTGATGAGAATGGGTCTTCTAAAAACATTCTTGTCCTTGACCATAAGTATAATAAGTTCTTAAGTATTAAAATTTCGACCGCAAGAGAAATTTACGACCGTAACTATATAGACATACTAAATTCCTACATGATATTTAGTATTGATTGCTGCTCTGGATTTAATTTGGCGAAATCGAATAAAAACTATAAACAATTCTCATATTCTCCTAAAGATATACCTCTTTTTTGGGAAAACTCCCCAAAAGACGTAAAAGACGAATATGAGAAAATTTATATAGGTTTCAGAAAATTTAAACCTAAAGTTAAAAAATTTGTTATGTGCGATCCTTTAGAAAAAAACGAGAAGAATTTCAGTAAAACGGCCAAAACCAAAAATTCGGGTGGTCAACTCAATATCGATACTACTATACCTTCTGACTTAATGGAATCAATATTTAACTATGTAGAGGAAAATGGGATCATCCCAAATTCAGGTACGTTTATTACGAAATAATTCTTTTTTTTTATATTTTGTACAAGTTATTCGTATTGACCTTTTTTTTTATTTAAATTTGAAAGATCCTTGTCATTCGGAGTATTACTCACTATACAATAATTCTTCTAAAAAAATGCAATGAATTTTATTTCGCAAATCACAAATTCTAAATTCGTAACCGAAGTTTTTTTCGCAAATTTTAAATTCGTGAGGGATGTTTTCGCATGTGTTATTCTTGTTATTCTTATGGTACAAAAAAAATAAGCTTCGCAAATTTTAAGGGTGTTTTGTTTATCACGTGTTTTATTTCGCAAATTTTAATTCGGGACGTGTTTTATGATTTCTATGGACGCAAAAAAGTATATATCATCATTTTAAGGTTTGTGGCGCAGCAATTCGTGTCACGTTAATAAGTCTTACAAAATGTTAATTAAACTCCTTATATCAATTTAAAGCGGGTTTTATTGTTTTATTTTCAAGAACCATAAATAAGAAATTTCTAGATTTAAGACAACGCTTTGAATTCTTATGATTACTAATCAAAAAAAAAAAAAAAAAAAAAAAAAAAAAAAAAAAAAAAAAANAAAAAAAAAAAAATAATAAAAAAAAAAATAAAAAATTAAATAAATAAATAAATAAATAAAAATAAAAATTTAAGCTGAAAACATCAATATTATAAAACTTGTTTATAAATTAATAATGGAATTTTTAGCTTGTCTAATCTAAACCTTCTTAAAAGCGCGGTGAAAAGTTTGGATAATGTTTTTTCAATTTGAACCGGTGATAATCATACTGCACATAATGCATTTCCCCCACAATATTAATTTTTTTATTTTATAAAATAAAATGTAGGAATATAAAATTTTACTGATCTATTCATGCTGCCGTAATGTTAATTTCACAAACCTCAAATATATTAGATAATTGAATGAATAAAAATAAAAAAAAAGAAGAAACCTCTGTTTAATATTTAATTAAACATACACTTGATTCAATCAAGGACTATGTAATGAAAAATCAACAGGTATTCGCAAAATAAATATCCTTTTGGATAATAATAAAGATGGGTTGGTTAATTAACTTCAGTCGTTCATAACAGGTCATACTTCTGGAAGAATCGAAATATTCAAAGCCTTACAAAAATTCAAAAAAAGAAAAGATAATATTTATGTAAATAATAGTTTCGAAATATCATTTAACTCGCAAAAACTCATACCAAAATTATAAGCCATATTATAAGCAGCATTATCGGATGAAAGATATTGTAGTTGAGGAATATTATAGTCTATGTTAGTAACTTCAGAACTATCAAACTGATTAGTCTCTGAGATCATATTAATATTATTAATATTAAATTGATCAAGTGTAGTTTCAAAATTATCAAATTCTGGCCCTTGAGGAATTAAGTAATTTGATTCACCCGATAAACTATATAAATTATCCGATACCTCAGTATTTCCAAATTGAATTGTTGAATTCAAATCATTTGTGTTACTATTATCAATATTTAATATAGTTTCGGAATTATCGAGTTCTGGTTCGTCGTATTGAGATTGAGAAGTCGAGCAATTTATATTATCGGATAAATAATCCTGATCCTGCATAATATCAGGATTTTCGGTTTCTGATAGAAAAATATTGTTACGCAGATTAACTTGGTCGTAGGTAACTTCGGAATTTCCGAAGTCTAGTTCTCTACTTTTACTTTCTTGCGGATAGCAAGTAATGAAACTGAGTTTTTTTGGTTTCAATTTTTTAAATTCTGTAAAAACTTGTTCGTATACGTCTGTAACATCCTTTGGTGAAATTTTCCAAAGAAATGAAGTGTCTTTAAAAGATCCCAAATTTTTTCGAAATTTCTCATTTGATTTTGCTTCACTGAATGCATCGCAAAAATCAATTCTAAATATCATAAACGCATTAAGTATATCTTTATAATTCCGATTGACTAATTCCACAGCTAAAGATATCTTAACATTCAAGTAACAATGAGTATCACTGTCAAGAGCAAGGACATGTAGCCTTTTCGACGGTTCAGTTTTATCCAAAATAATTTTTATTCTTGCCATATTATTAATAAGGAAGGTATTTATTATTTTGTCATCAAGAAAGAAATGGACGGTTTATATAAATCTCAATGACATCACATGACTGTTTTGTAATTAATTTTGTACAATTCCCTAATATAGAAATTTTAAGGATATTATTAAAATATCAGTTTATTATTTCGGTTGACTTTTCCATTTGTAATCCTGTGCTACTTTATTGAGTAACGTTATACTAACGTTAAATTTCCTATATATATTTAGATAGGTCTTACTCGAAAAACTACTTTACTGGAAAAATGAGGTGTTTATATAATTTTGACAAAGATACATCCGAAAAAAATATAATAGTTCTGTTACCAAATTATGAATATTTAACGTGGAATTTACCTTCTATAATCATTGGTAACTCAGAGCCTTTTCAGCTCTTCAAACAACATTATTTAGAGGCAAGGGGGGATCGTATTTTACATGATTCCGAAGAAGTTGAAAAAATTATTGAAGCTTGGAATTCTGACATCCATGTTCGTGAAGAATATGAGAAGCTTTGTTCTTCATTTCAAGGTTTGTATGATATTCCTCACATTGATTGCGCAAAAATTAGAACTACTACCAGAAATAATTCAAAGAAACAATTATTTAGATTATATAGTTTCTGCGCCACAATCAGAAACTAAGCGAGGAGACTTTTCAATTAAGGTATTGGCCATGACTTTTTATATGATTATTTGTAAATTCTATTTTAATAACAATAATTCCTTAATTTTATTTATTCATAGCGGATGTCACGTACAGAATCTTCAGAAGACAGGTTATGGACAGATGATAAAATACTTATAAAATGTTCATTTAGTTATGAAGATAATGTTTCATTTTCAAATTATGATCATGGAACACATGGAACAAGTGAATATAATAACAACAATTGTTTCTCTCTGTTATATCGATATAATAATCAAATGCTACGCAGCTTAATTTTTCAAAACACTATATCTCCTGATCTGTTTGAAAAATTCATTCGAATTATTAAAACCAAAAAGCGCAATATCAATAATTGTAACAAGGATAAGAAAACAGCTGATAAATGCTTAATTAAAAATTTGGAATATGCAGGTTATACTTATATAAAAGCATTATTTGCTTCCTATAACTTATTTAATAATGAACCAAATAAAATTAAGATGGCTTTGCATATTGCATTTGGCCTACAACCCAGGGTAATCTAATAATCTATTTTGTTTTAATTCTTATTTTTTAATTTTTATAATTAATTTTTGTTTTATTTGTAGCAAACTTTAAGTGATGATATTGATTATATTATTAATAATATACCATCAAACCCAGAAATGATCATTACATTATTTCATATAATTTGGAATTGTATCAAGCGGCAAAACAATCAAAGACGATCCGATTTAAGATTTTCAATCATGGATGATGAGAAATAAAAAACATGGTTTGCTTCTTTCATTGAATCAATTTTTATCGCTCGGATTTCTATGTTCAGTCCTTTGAAAAAAATTTTCTTTACTTCGCCGTACGTTCAAGGGTTTGTAGGTATTTCATATGTCAAGGGTAACTACTTTCTTACGTCATATGAATTTTTGAGTAACTACTTTACCCCTCCCATTAAGATTATATTTGACTACATGATTTTTATTGATTTTTGCTAACCCTCCCCCTAAAAAATTACGTAATGAATGTCATTGCTCTGGCTCATGTTATAATGTCTGCAACCCGCTTTTAATTCTTTTTATTAGTATTTTAATTTTTTATTTTTATATTAGTATAATTTATTATGCAAAATATCATCTGAACTGCTTCAATATTTTATATTTTATGTTATTCATATTTTATGTAAAATACATCTTTTAGCAAGGAAGTTAAGAAATTTTAGGTAGAAATATAAATTTAAATAATTTGTAGTTCTACTAATTAAGAGAAAATTTTTAACGGAGGGAATCCCAATAAGTGGTGTGACAAGCGCAGTATATGTCTAGAATCGCGTCTACCTCCACACTTTTAGGTAAGATATTTTTGATCCGTGCAACCAATCTTTATAAATGTGTAACCTAAGATTTTGCATACAGGAGCCAATATATACTTCACTGCCCAACGCTCACAAATATGGAGATATTGGGAATCTTCCAGTTAAATGTAGTTATTTTCATTTAGAATATTAATTATGTATATTATTTCCTTATGTACATATAAAAAAAATCGGATTGTACTTTTGTAGCTATTTTCAACTTTTTACGAATTAAACTTGTACATATTTTTTAACACTGTCAATTGAAAAAACACTCGATCTTAATCACGTGATCTAAATAACTATAAGTTTTCATCAGGTGACTTGCATTTACCACTTTGTGTCATTACTGGGGGACAACTATATTATACAAACGAAATGTAAAATCAATTTTTGACATCGAGGATTCTCATTGTATAATAATGAACCAGCTTTTGGATTCGCCAGAACGGGATGTGATACTCATATCTCTAGTATCGGCGAATAAAAAGTTATTTGTATTTAAACCTTTTAAAGGTATCTCGTTATCTAGAAGCACGAAACTATCTCAATTCGACGCGTTTTATTCCTACGAATTCAACGAGCTGTGTTTAATCTTTCTAAAACCATCGGATGCTGAGTTAATGTGCTTTAACGACCTGAAAAGTTCTGTCCGCATTAAACGCAGAATTTATAAATCATATCAGATATAGATTTGAATTCCCATTCGTACGTGGATTGTCAATTAATGCTTTTGTAAAGTTCTAAAAACATCACGAAATAAAAAATTGAGCAATAAATTTTTAGGTATACTGTAGTTTAAACTTTAATTATTAACCTGATCACCATTTTATGAACGTTACACAATATCGAGAAATAAGCATATGCATCTCCGTGAATGCAAAAAAAAAGGGTTGAACTTGTAATAAAATCGGTAACCTTTAAACTCAAACTTTACTTCGTTTTGTTTACAATGTCTTACGGAGATTTACTTGATGAAGTGTTAATTCATTTAACACTTGTAATAGATTATATCTCATATGCATATAATACTCTTATCTCGTTCATTTTATTTAAATTTCTTAATCAACCACCGTTACATGTTCATATTCCAACACAGACTTATCATCCAGCAGTTTTAGTTACAGGAACCTCTGTTGGAATTGGACGAAATGTTGCATTAAATTTAGCCAAAAGAGGTTATACAGTCTTTGCAACAGTTCGTAAAGAAGAGGATGCGGAGGATTTAAAGAACACTTTTCAAGAAACTGACAATGTTATGAATGGTTCTTTAGAAAGTTTAATAATGGATGTAACTAATAAAGACGATATTAAAAAATCTTACGATATTATTCGTAATAAGATTGGTAGAGAAATTCCTTTTGTTGGATTAATTAATAATGCTGGATTAGTTTTATATATTCCTTTAGAAATTGCAACAGAAAAATCTTTTGAAGATAGTTTTAATACGAATTATTTTAGTATTATTAATTTAACGAAAAAATTTTTACCTTTATTAAGAGAAAGTAGAGGTAGAGTCATTAACATTGGTAGTATGGCTTCTTGGAGTCCTGCTCCTTCTATGGGAATTTATTCTTCAACTAAAGCTGCTATTAGATCTATTACACAAGTATGGAGAATGGAAACTAGATCTATGGGTATACATTTCTCTCTCATCGAACCTGGTAAGTTTTATGCTATTTACTTGTTATTACATTGGATTAAACATTTTGTGAAATACAATTTTTAGCATAAATTTATTCGTATATTTACTTTAGGTATTGTTGCAACCCGATTGACCCAGAACCAATTGAATACATATCGTACTTTTACATCATTCCCAACCGATTCAAAATATCATGACATTCCACAAAGTAAAGGTATTACATCAAACGTAATTGATGCTTATGAAAATTTATTTAAAATGATCGCAAAAAGGAGTTCATTGGTTGCATCAAAAGCTATTCCACCTGCTATTGTAACTGATGCTATAGTACATGCTTTAACCGCTCCTTATCCTAAAAATACTTATTATGTTGGTTTGGATGCTAGACTTATTGCTATGGTAAGTTGGTTGTTTGGTGATAGAATTATTGAAGCTATTCAAGCAAAAGCTTTGTATGTTCCTAATGATATGATTGCTGTTATATGAGATTTTGGAATTTAAATAGCTAGAGATTATTGTTTATTTATTTAATCTTAAACTATTTTCTCCTTAACATTTTTAATAAAAAATATATATATATCTTGTTACAAGATATTTTAATTAATTTTAATTTTATACTTGATTTTTTTAATTGACTAATCTTGATATTTTTAATTCCGCTGAAAAAATCTCATAATATAAAAAATATAATTATTTAATAATGATGTATTTTAATAAATTAAAATTAAAACCGTTGAAATTAACAATTAATATTTTATAATATTATTTTTAATCTATTTTAATTTAATAATTTGTAAAAAAAAAATAATTATAAATATATAATTAATATAAAATTTTATGTAACATTTTTATATAATAATATATTTCTAAAGAACCCTTTGATATGAAGTATATTTCCAATTTTTTTGAGGAATTGGCATTAGTATGAAAAACAAATACAAATACCGAGTATTTTGATATTTTACTACTAAATCACTAGTAAATTTTTGTACAATACAATATTTTTAAGTTATATTATTTATTTAATTTAAATTAACAGTTTTAAATAAACTAATTAATTGATAAACTGTAAAATTATAATTATATATTTTAAATTTAAAATTTTATTAATATATAAATGTAAAGAATTATTTTTTTTTGAATATTCACAAAAAGCTTATATTCTTTAATAATTTAATCTAAAAATACAATATAAATAACTACACTAATTTTACTTTAAAATTAAATAAATAATATTAAAATTATTGATTTTTTTATAATATTTAATTACATTTGTAAATCTTATATGTAATTAAATAAAAGAGATGTTTAATAGTTTTTTTAATTACTTTATAACAAATTATAAAATGATTAAAAATTTACCTATTTATATTAAAGCCATAATGCTTGTTTAACTTTAAATCCAACTTTAGTCATAATTCCAGTGTTTTTATTTGCTTCTTCCAAACTAAAAAAAAAATTTAAATAAGTTTACTAAAATTGTAACCAGTGGTAATAATTAGCACAAATTCAATCCAATACCTTATAATAGGTCTTTCAACAACAAATCCAACATCTTCAGCATTACCAATATCCCAACAAGCTTTAACAATTTCTTCAACTACTTCATCAACAATTTGTTGACTACTTTTTTGTTCTTTTTGTTCATTATTTTTTTCTTCACTACCACCACCTCCATCAAATTTAGTTGCTTCACCTACCAAGTTACTTCTAAATGCTTTGAATGCCATAAATTTTTTTACTTCCGTATTATTATTTTCATTTGCCTTATAATTATTATTGTTTCTCATGCTACCCGAATTTACTCTACTTGATTCTCCTGATGCTCTATAATATACTATAAATCCATAATTATCTTTAACTGATACACATGATGGATATAATGTTGATAGTATATATTCTCCTATAAATTTAATAAAGAATAAATAAGTACCATATAAACTTTTATTTAATGGTTATTATTTAATAATAAAAAAGATTAACCTTTTTCAACTGAAGTTATTTCACCTAATCCGATTCGTTTAAACTGCATTACTTTTTCCAGGCGATAATGAAATGTACAAACATAGAGAGCCTTTTTAGTCAAAAGTAATACCTTTTCTTCATAAGATTTACCTCGTCTAGATTAAGAAAAATCTTGTTAAATCATCAAAACACAAGTTTTTTTTTAATTGAAACGATTTTTCATACAGTGTATTTGGTTCAGTAGGTGATAAAAATGTCCAACCATTAATCTTTTCTTCATTATCAATAATGACAATTGAACTACTAATTTCAACTATAAAATAATCAATATTAGAAAAAAATTTTCAACTTCAAAAAAAAACTGTGTAAAATAATTAGTAAATATAACTTACTTGCAGTAGCTCTAACTTTTGCCCATCTCTCTGAATCTCCAGGTTGTGATGCTTCAAATTTCTGTTGAAGTTCTTGAAATACTTCAATTGAACGATTGCCTAATACATAATCAATTGTGGCCTATCATACGCATAAAATATTTTTCATTATAAGGATTAAGTCAGATTAAAAAGTAAAAAAAATTATTTTATTACTTGTCTAAAGAAATCTTTAAATGTATTTTGGAACATTCGAGCTAATGAATTAGATGCATCATTGACAACTCCTTGTAAATTTCTTTTTCCTAATAAATAAGGTAATTAATAACAGTACAACAATAGTAATAAACAAAAATAAATATACGAACCAGTCCTATAATAGTAAAAAAAATTGACAAACTTAAGATAAATAACGTGTATTTAATTATAAAAATTATTAAATAACAATCTAACCTTGTAAAATCTCCTTTCAGTGCACTAGTTCCGGCGTATTCTCTACTTATAGAATCTCCGTTGTTTGCCCATACTAGTAATGAGTGAGCATGAATTTCAAATGTAGCCTATTGTTAAATTTTCTTAAAAATAAGTTCTACACTTACCATCATTGAAAATATTTTCAAAATGTTCATAATGAGAAATTCCGCCATCAATATGTTCTGATATTCCTAATCTAAGCATTTGAAGATTTAAAACTTCTCTAGCAAGAGCACTCTATAAATGAAATTGACGAATAATTAGAATTAAGTAATTGAAAAAATAAATATTTGCCATGATATATACCTGTACAACATTTGTCCTATCCAAACAGTCCATACAATTCTAGATAAATAATAATAAATGATTAACAAGAATTCAACAAAAAAAAAAAAAAAATATTATATATCTCTTAAATTAGACGTGATATCAAACCGTACGAAAGATTCCTGTTTGTTGGCAATGAACTTCTTTTTCACCCGTTACTTTATTAGCTTGCCAATAATAACTTGAAAAAAAAGTAAAGATTAGTAAAAATTTTTAAAGATAAAAATACCATTAAGCACGTTAATTTACCTCATTTTATTAAAATTAGTTTTGAGCATCTCAACAAGTTTTAGAATATTTTCATATTTCATTCCTTTACATTGTTGATGAAAATCAAATCCAATATATCTAAATTTCGTGAAAAGAAAAATAGTTTAAATCAAAATTAATTTGGTTTTAAATACACCCAAATAAAAGTTGTACATACTCAATATTTTTTTCATCTCCTAAACGTTCAACTGCTTCTCGATAAGCTGATCCAACTATGGCTTCTCGATTAGTTAGTTCAGTTAAATTAATACAACTAATATGTCCATACAGTTCAATTAAATTGTCAAAATGTTTTTTAAAGGCTAGGGCATTTTCATTAACAGAACGTTCTAATACAGGTTTTGGCTTTAAGCCATAAGGAGATTGAGACCAAAACAACGGAACTATTTAAAGAGAAAGTTATAAATTAAATCGATGAATTTTTTTTTTAAAGAAAAGGAAATAGGTTTTTAACTTACTGGAACCACGAATTTGCAAAAATGATACATCATGATTAATTCCTTCAATCTAATAAGAAATAAGAAAATGTAAAAATCCGAGCTGAAAAATATCGTAAAATGAGTAAATATTTCATAGGTTCAGACCTCAATTGAAAGAATTTGTTCTGTTTCAACAAAATTCGCTACTGCACCATCTTCATTGATTCCTCTACGCTGATATCGTAAACCTACAAATTCGTAACATAATATGTTTAAAAGCAATTTAAAAAAAAAATATTGTATACGTACCCGCTCTTTCACGACTTCTTCTAGAAATCAATATAAAATCAAAATCATGTTCATCAATTTGACACGGTTCACATTGAACATAACCTTGCATTATAGGCAATATCCAGGCATGAAGCTTTTTTTTATAAAAAATATATACATACATATTTTTTAATATAAAATCCAAATTTTTAGCTATCACCCAAATATACTGTGTGTATTATTTACCTCGAGTTCAATAAATCCTTTAAGCATATGTTCATTCCACCAAAACCTCTTATCTGCCTGTGTGAAAAATATTTAATCCAATTAATGAAATTATAGATTTTTAAATACAGCACACAAATTTCATAAATTTTAACCTGTTTCCAAAGAGGTAATTCTTTCTTAGGAAATCCTTTTGCATTTTTTTCTTGTAAAGATGTCGTGATATCTAATTGAAAAGAAAAGTAAATAAATTAACAGAAAATTTAATAAAACAACAGAATAATTCAAATAGACATGTTGGTACCAAGTTCATATGAAAAAAAGAATGCATCAGAACGAAACAATAATGCAATTTCTTTAGCAATTCTTAAATCCATCACCTACAAATAATGATCAATAATTTAATTATAAATAAATAAACATAATATTTAAATAAATTAATTTTGACCAACATTTTTTTCTATAGGATCCTTTATGTTAATAACTTTTGGAGCTCCAAAATCACTAGCGAAACCATCCAAAACTTCAGTAACTCTTTTTGCAGCAGTGGAGAAAGGTGACAATTTATCAGATGGACTTTTTAGCATATCACTATTATTGCTACTTAAATTACCACTACCTGTAGCCACACTTTCATTTAAAATTGTGTTTACAGATGTAAATTCCCCTTCTCTATCTTCATAATCAGAATCTGATCCATTTGAAGATGGCGATGGTGATCTTTTTTTATTTAAATCAGAAAATGCCAATTTCATTTTCGATAATAAAGCTGTAACTTGTTGTTTTTTGTTTATAAAAGATAGTGGATCTGGTGACGATGATGGAGGTGTAACCGAAACTGATACAGATGTCGATGAAGCTGAAACTGTTGTTTGTATCTGCGGAAACTCTTTTTCTGCTTCTGCTACATCTGTCTCTATTATTTCATTTGAAATATATCTTTTATGTGATCTTTCCTCTTCCTCTAAATTAGCATCTTCATGAAGAGTATCAGCATCCTCTTGATCATCATCATCAACAGGCCAAGGCTGTTCAAAAAAATTTATTAAAAACTTTTAATATAATAAAAAAATTTCAAGATCAACTTACATGATTTTCAAGTATTTTGAGAGCCCTTTCATAATCCAAAGGTAAAATTGCTACTCTTTTAATCATATAAACATTCTTATCTTGAACATGACCAAGATTCTTTCTATCTGTAATAACTATGATATATCGTCCTACATTAACCGATCAAAATAATTTGAGTTGTCAATATATGTTACTTAGTAATGCAATTAAAAATACACAAACACAAACCTGTTAGCAATTCTAAAAATCCTACTACTCCGAAAATATCATAAGGTTTAGCATCCTGCGAAGGTTCATATAGTTCTAAAGAATTATTTCATGTAATTAAATAAAATATACCAAAGCTTTCTTAATATATACTTCTTTAAAAACCGGATTAATGTAAAATACCTTTCTTTACAATTTTTCCAGTCTCCAATTCAATTTCCAAAAAATCACTTCCAGCAATTAAAATAAAAACCTTTCTATCAATCACTAAACTAATTCTTTTATGTAATGGTGGTGGTGGTGGTTGCATAACAGGCGTAGGTACAATAGGAGTTGGAGCTTTTCTTTTAAGTAAAAACATAATAAATAGTTAAAATTGGATATTGATTGTTTTAAAATTTAGGAAGCTGATATTTTATCTGTTTGCTTCAACTTTATTAAATATAGCTAAATTAGGAATATAATATAGTCACATGATCATGCAATGATGCAAGGAACTTAACATGCAGATCTTTGATGATCTCTTTTATTTACATCATGAAATTTTGTAATGTTTGTGTAAACACTTAATTTTATTATGGATTGTCATTACTACTTTAATGTTAAGCAAAATATTCCCTTAAATTAACGTGAAAAAATTTATTTCATTAATTAATAACTAATATTTCAATTTAGTCTTTGTAATATATGATTTATACACTTATGGAATTGATCGGATTATCAGTATACATTGTTTATATCCATATCAGTTAAAAAGCAAAATGATTGTTAAGTTCAACATATTCATTACGTTCACAATATAATTATTTTTATGACTATTATTTTTTAAATATTCATGCCAAAGTATTGACTATATGAATCATACTTACTAGAAGAATATGAAAGCCATGTGATACTATATTGTATTACAAAAAAAATTGTCTAATTCAATTTTATTTATTGTCACGACTTTGACAAAATAATATATTTGAACTTAAAATCAAAAAATTAACTTAAATGAATAATGAGAAACTAATAATGAAATATATACATATTCACATGAAAAAAAATTTAGGTAATTCAAACATTCTATAATATAATTTTTTATATTTTTTTTAAAAAAAATTGAACAAGTTCATTTCTAAAGATGTACATTCATTTATAAAACATTAAAATATTCATCATGCCGGTACGTCCTCCAGTAAATCAAATAATTTGTTCTAAAATAAACAAATAAATAATTAATTTAAATAATTAAATAATTTAACGTATCTAAATGATAAATTCAAGTCAACCCTACCTTGCATAGGATTTCAATATCTCCGTATGGTTGTTTTTGTTGTACATGTATTACATCTTTGGTATTTAAAACTAATAATTCAAAAAATAATTTCACTGCGTCTTGTCGTTTAGCCTATTAACATAAAAACTAATTAAGTTGTTTGTTTTTTATTATAAATGAAATTGTGTTAAAATAAAAGAATAATAATCGTACCGTTTCCACAACACTTTCATAACTCACTACAGTTTGTCTTGGTTTTGTGGAGCTTTCTGCAACTTGTTCACTTATTTCTTCACGACATTTATCTCTCAAAAGTTTCATTGCTTTGATTGTATTTTTACTATACGCGTTACCGGTATTTTGTTGATCCTGTGTTTCATCTTGATCAAAAATGGTTACGCCCGGAATATTTGGCAAGTCTATTTAAAAAGTTAAAATTAATATAAATGGAAAAGTTATAAATAAACAATACAAGGTATGGAATTCCTGCTAACCTCCATCTTCCATCGGACTTGGCGGAAGCTCAGGTACATTATCATTTCCGAACTATAATAATATTAAATAAATTAACAAAAAAAAACATAATAGAACATACGGTTACGCTAAAAACTGTCTAATCCTATTACATTATCAATTTGATCATCGAATTCGTCATGTTCTGAGGGTGGAGCTGATGTTATGGCTTTATCTTGCGTGGATTCTTTTTCTTTTTCTTTATTCGCTTGTGTTTGTTCTGTGATATCAACATCCTGTGTTGTATCTAAAATTAGGGAAAAAAAGCACCAAATTTAAATTATTGATCTTTCGTAAATCTTAACAATACGATGCAAATAAAACACAAAACCTTGGTTATAATCAGGAGAATTTGGGATTTCTGTTATTTCCGGGAGCTATCAAATTAAATTAAAATCATATACTTTTATTTATTATAAAATAGGACATGAATATACTTACCACAAATTCATCATTATTTTTGTTGTCGAATGTATCAGTATCTAATTCTGTTGTACCCGACGGGCCTGGTAGTGCCTCGTTGTCGTCTTCTTGCACTTTAGATGGTGAAGATACTCTTTGACGCTTTCGAGCAAAAAGGTAACGTAATTCGGGCAAAATATTATGTGGAGCGGTTAGATCGAGAAAATACCAAGCTCCCATTTGGCGGATTTCCGCTAACCGTAATAATTTTCTTGAAACAGGAAGATATGATGGCTATAAGGCAAACAATGCTTTAGTTAATAATTCATGTCATCTAACTTATATTAAAGAGAAATTATTAACCTCAATGCAAATATCTGATGTGTCGTCTATTTGACTTTTAATATGCCTGTTAGGTAGCTCTGTTATTTCATCAACGATCAACCTTCGCTTCCTACGAACTGGCCCATGTTGTCGAACTTCCTCTTGTTCTTGAAATTCTTGCGTATCATGTGGTTCTTGAAGCTCTTGAAACTCCTGAGATTCTTGAGGCTCTTGAGGTTCTTGTTCCTGAGGACCTTGAGGCTCTTGAAGTTGATCGTCTATAAATAATTAGTTAATATTGTGAATCAATAAGTAGATTAAATACAAAAAAAACGATATTTTTCTTAGTTCTACCTTGTCTCTCTACGCTTCTTTGGGATGTTGGTGAAAAAATTGGACCTTCTGGGTTAATGTTGCTAATAAATGATAATCGTTGTTACAAATCTATTATTAACCGCATAAAAAAAAGGTCAAAATATCTAATAATAATAAATTTACTTGGTTTCGTCCAAATCGAAATTAATTGGAATGTCTATGTCCATTCCATCAGGATTTTCTATATTCATAGTATCATCCTTATTTGTATCCAGGTTTGATAATATATTAGTGTCCTTAGTTATATCGGTGTTAGGGTTTAAGACATCAGTATTCTCATCAAGATTTATGTTATCGTTCAAGTCAAAGTCCAATTGTAATTCGGGACCATCATCCATCATCATTAATGGGTCATCTTCCATGCTTTTACCAATAACATCTTCCGCGGTTAACGGAATTTCGTTTTGAGCATCTCTCGCAATTTCGATTTCCGAAGAAGTTTCATCCTCATGACTATGAGACCCTATGTCATCTTTGCCAATTGCTTTTTGATCAGGATCATCATCTAAATTTAAATCAAAATCTCGATCATCATCAGCATCCCCCAGCAAATCATCACCGATGTTCAAATCTAATGATAAATCAAAATTATCTCTTATAGTAATATCTTGAGGTCGAGAGATATTTGAACTTGAAGCGACCGGAGCGACATCACTCCATTGCCTACGGTGTAAATAAATTAATAAATTTGAGTCAAAAAATTATAAATTAAATAAATTAAAATAGTCAAAATTCTTATTTACTTGAGATGCAAACCGGGATCTGGTAAAAGAATGTCGAATTCTGTTATATTATCCGGTAACGTAATTGATTCGAAATTGGCAATTCTTTGATCTTCGGGAATGTCAACTTCACCGGGTCTAAATGCCTTTAAAAAAATAAATATAAATATTACAATAAATAGCGTGGATCAATATGAATAAAAATTCAGCACATTATTTACCAATTTAATTTTTAATAGAGCCTCATTACAGTCTTCTAATAGATATTTCGCTTTACGTGAATATATGCGTACGACTCCGAGCAACAATTGTCCAGATAATCGTAGAGCCATTGGGGGCTGGTCACCTCCAAGGATTGCGCCTAATTCGAACGGAAGGTTTTATATCAGTAAGTTAACGTAATAACACAAAGCTAAAACTAAGTTTAGAAATCTTTAAAAACGATTATTATAATACATACCTACAGAAGTCTGTATATTCGTTTGCAAAAATTGTGTTTTACTAAGTTTTCTTTCCCAATGCGCGGCGAGCCATACTTTCGCGAGAGGGCCCTTTTTTGAATTTAATAATTGTGAATAAATGTCGCATCGTCTATTAAAAAACGTTCAAACATATTACCTTCTTTGACAATATGGCCTCCGAGTAAAACATTTTTGAGAGCTTAGTTTCCGCAGCGAATAAAGATACTAAAATTAATCAAAGTAGAGTCGGTGGGAAAATCGCGAAACGTAATATAAATTTGAACAGAAATCGGTTCCACGCTTTCTTAGTACACATTAGGAAAATTGCGATATATATATATTAGAAAATTTTTGCACCCCGTGATACATTTTTGTGATACAATAACTCGTACGTCAAGTTGTCAGAGGATGAGGAATTTGCTCATTACCCACGTGATTTTGCTGTCGGTATCAATATCACACCCCTAGTCAATATTTACTACAACTACGCGTTGATGAGTTGGGAATGTAATGTGTGACAGTTTACGGCTTTACGCCGATTATACTACGTAATTAATGTGCCGTCGATCATTTCCAAAAAAAGTATCTTAAAGTATAATCTAATCGGCAAATGACGTGTAACTATAAGTTCACGTGATTAAATTGGATTCGTAGTTAAAAGTAATTTTTTTTTTGGTAGTTTTATTATTAGACTTTGTGGTTCGTTAAATACGATGTTAGATCTAAAAGATGGATTTCGGAGTTTTCAATAGTTCCAATTGAGGAAGAATGTATTGGAAAAGAAAAAAGAACACGCTGTTTCATCCCAAACCATAGCGTTTTAGTTGAACGCATGAGAGTTGGTTTATTGCATTAATTGAAGTTGTTTCGTTAATTGTATTAATTGCCAATCCGTCTAAAATCGGCACTGCGTTACTAATAAAATTCGGGGATATTAACGATAATAAAAAAACCCGTTTTTTACATCTTACGCGCGGGATAAACTTTCACCCATTTCACCCATTTCACAAATAAAAGTGCCCTTCAATTTTTTACTAGTTCTATAAAGAAAATATTTTAAAAAAAGTCTTTAAAAAAAGCTTAGAAAGCCAAAAAATGTATGTTTGTAATGTAAATAACATAATATAGTAAAATAAAATATTGAAATTTCTTACATTTTAAGGTGTAAATCTGACGCGCGTACATAGTAAACTCATTATTTTGCATATGAACGTATAATTTTTTTTTGCAAATTCTTTTTTTTCAAGTATTTTTTCAGTATATCATATGACCTTTATTTATAGTTAATATATCGTCTATGAAAATATCTTTTTCTGAAGATTGTGTTCTAGCACAAAATCGGCAAATTTAACCCCGAATTTTATTAGTAACGCAGTGCCGTTTTTAGACGAATCGGCAATTAATGTAATCGATTCATGTTAAAGTTTCTTTAGTACGCGGTTTCTGCGTGTTTTACGGGTAACCAGATAAAGCGATCCGTACTTTTTTTAAGTCGAATCAACTTTACTTCGCGGAAAGAATTCATGCCATATTAAAAGGAAAAACGGAAAAAATTTATTTTTGTGTTTTTAAAGTAAAGCCTATTTACCAATTTGGAATGTCGTCGGGCTGGATGTATGGTCGCTACGCGCCTATGCCTCGGCTGGAAGGCCTACCTCCTCTAAAGCATGGTCACGTGAGGGTGAAAAGTGATGGATTGTCAAATTTGTGATTATCGCACTTTTTTTCCTGTTATTATCCTAAATTATTTTAAATGAGTTCGATTTTTCGATTTTTTGGACAAAGATTGCCTCGTTTCAAATATAACGCATTTATCAGACATCATTATGATAATTCCTCTATTACAAATTTCCCTACAAAAAGCCCGATAAAAGAAGAGTATTTTGATAATTTGACCAAGTACGTGATAATTTTTATTTTCTTGTCCTTGCCAGTTATTTATTTTTTTTTTAATGTTTGTGTCTAAAAATCTTTTAGAGATAAAGCTTTCAGGCAAGTTTTGGACGATATAAATAAAGTTTTGTCTTCTGCTTCCATAAACGATTCTTTACGCAAAATAGAAGAGTACGAAGAAGATAATCCATATGTGCGCAAATCACCTGCAGCAATCTTTGGTACTAAAAGAATCGGCTGGGTAATATTACCTGATTGGTTAAATGAAGCAGTCCTAGAAATTGTCAAAGGTAAGCAAAAGGTAAATTTTAAACGAAAAATGTTCGATATGTGTAATTAATTTTTTTTTATAGAACATGATAAAGAAATGATTAAACATGATGCAAACCGAATCTATCAATCTTTGCGGTCCACCACTGGCTATGATCCTAAGTTTGATGTAGATTTTAAGGGTAAACATTAATCGATTTTTATATTAATGAAGTATTAATAAAGCGATGTAATTTATTAATTCCTTTATTCTTTCAAGATCCTATCATGGGTCCATGCAAAAGCGCACGAAATGCATTCAAACGCTTTGTTCTGGAAAATGAGGTCAAACCTCACGTTCTTGAATATGGTACTCGTGAAGCAATGGCTTATATTGCTGGGTATTTACCAATTTCCTATGGTCCAATTTTCAACGTTCTCACTGAATTAAAGAGTAGAATTCCGGATTTCTCGCCACAGAGTGTTATGGACTTTGGAACTGGACCTGGAACTGCAATATGGTAAGTTAAGTGTAGAGGATTACGAAAATATTATATTGTATATTAATTGATTTTGTGTATAATTTTTTTTTAGGGTATCACATAACATTTGGGATAAACATGTTCCAAATTTTTTAGGGATTGATATATCTGAATCAATGTTGAGGACAGCAGAGAAACTGTTGTCATGTATGTATTAATATCATAAATTTATTTGACAATTGAATTAATAACATAATTATTTATAATATTTTTAAGTTCAACCTAAAGAGGATCGAATAAAAAATATCGAATTTAAGCGTTACCTATCCTATGAACCACACGTAAAATACGATTTATTTTTTTTTAACTAATTGTATTAATTTCACTTTAAAGGTTAAACTTTTTAATTTTCTTACTTTAGCAATTGAAACATGATCTCGTGATTAGTGCATTTACTTTGAATGAGTTGCCGAATGATAATATCAGAGAAACCGTTTTGGAATCACTATGGAATAGGACGAACGATTTATTGGTTAATAATATGAACTTCTTTTCTCTTATGTTATTCCGATCTAACCTTAAACTTTTTTTAGGTTTTGATTGAAAATGGTACTCCAGCGGGTTTTAAAATAATAGCGGAAGCACGCAAAAGAATTTTAAATATAAATAAACAAAATAATGAAGTAGAGTCAACTATTGACAATTTGGAAGATGAAACTAAAAGTATAACAAAACATGGAGCTCATGTAGTTGCACCGGTTAGTTAGTTATATGAAAGCTATTATTAATGTTATTAATTGACATTGTAATAATGGACATTATGATTAGTGTCCACATGATGGTATTTGTCCATTGGTAAAATCAAGAAATTGGTGTCATTTTTCACAACGTATAAACAGGCCGTTATATCTCGTATGTATTATAGAAATTAAGAGATTATATGTGTAAATATGTTGTTATGCATAGCATAATATTAAAAAATTTTATCATTTTAGATGCAAACAAAAAATGTGAAAAACCACAACTTTGAAGATTCGAAATATTGCTATGTCATCCTTAGAAAGGGACAAAGGCCAAAGCTGTTAACAGAATTCACTTCAACAAACGCAGATAAACCGTCTGACAACAAGCGCGGTGAGATACTTGTACTTTGTTATAAATGACTTGTTTTTCAAGAATTAATTTAATCCTTTTCAATTCCAAACTTTTTAATAGATTTGACAGTCGAGGCCTATCACTGGTCACGTTTAGTTATGCCACCTATGAAACGTAGCGCACATGTTGTTTTGGATTACTGTTCAAAGACAGGCAAATGAAATAGCTATGAATAATATGTTTTACGTTTATTAAATTAAGTAAAATGACTCTTTTTCTATAGGTTATATTGAAAGAGGTATTATCCCAAAGTCTCAAGGAAAAGTTCCATATCGGGATGCGCGTAAATCCATATGGGGTGATTTGTTCCCACACGAACCAAAGAAACCTGCTGTACGTAGGCACGCCCCACAGTATATCGAACAAGTAGATGTAAAGAGTAAAGAAAAAGATAAAGTGAGAATTCCAAGTGGACAACGAAGTAGTAAAAAGATAAATAATAAGAAGAGAGAAGCATGAAGGTAATGTAGGATTATCAATAGCTCAAGATTCTCATTCCTTAAACGATAGACTTTTCCATATAATAAAATTCTTTATTATCTATCATTATAAAAAAAATTATTAACAGATAATTATATAACTAAGGTATCATAAATTTTATTATGTAATTTATAAATTATACAAATAATTTAAATATAAATAAATATACAGGTTCATTAGAATAATTATGATAAACAATTCATTATTTTTGTTTGAATAATTCTGCAAATATTGGTTTTACTCTAGCATAAACTTCCTCTACGCTATCTTCACAAGGTACCTGCAGATATTAAAATTAGTTAAAATTAAATTTTATATTAAATAATAAGTAAATTGTTCAAATACGTACTGTATGCACTTTGCCTGATTTCCTGAAATGTTCGACGACGGGATAACTAAGTTCAAGAAAAGTCTTGAATCGTTTCAAAATTGTTTCTTTATTATCATCAATACGACCACTTGTTTCACCACGTTTCAAAAGACGCTTAAGCATTACTTCTTCAGAGCATTCCAAATAAATGATAAGGGTAGATTCAACTACCTATAATCCCAAATTGAGAATAATTCTGAAATTTTAATTTTTTTCAATAGACTTATATAAAAAAAGAACCACTCACTTCTTTTTCAAAAGCCAAAGCTTGATCAAGTTGTCTTGGAAATCCATCGATTAAAAATCGATTGGAATCACTTTCAATAATTTTTTTTTCAAGTAATGTTATAGTAACTTCACTAGGGACGATTTTACCTTCCTTTATACAATTTTGAATCAGTTCTCCATATTCAGAGCCTGGTCTTTGTTGCTCTTCGCGTAACAAATCTCCAGCTGTATTTAATTCAGATTTAATTAATATATTTTAACATTTACATAATGAGAAATGAAGAGACTATTAAATCAATTCACCAGACATGTGGACGAAACCAAAATCTTGAACTAATTTCGCGCATTGGGTGCCTTTTCCTGAGCCAGGACCACCTAAGAAAATTTATAATCCATTAAAACAAATACTATATGACTCGCATCAGAAAAATCAGAAAAAAAATCATGATAATGACTTACCCAATATGAAACAAACGGTCATATCATCTTTTGAAAGTTTTGCTTCGGAAGTCATATTTTAGCTCTTATTTTTCTGATAAATAAAGAATAAATCAATAAATAATAAATTTGGTGCATAATTTAATAAAAATCTTACCTCTATGTTTAACTAATGAAACGTATGCTGAAACTCCAATACTTAACACTGCTAAAATAGCAATTGGGTGAGGTCCTTTCGTATTTGGGTTTTGAGAAGACTTTATTGCCTCTTTTTTAATTTTACGGTTATTTTTAGAACTAACAGAAAAGTTCCGCAATATTTTAAAAGAAGCAAGAGTTTTTTGCATAATATGCTTTAAAAAAAATTTTTTTCACCCTGAGAAAACTAAACCTTATTTCAGTACCACATCAGATAAAACAAGATTACTTTAAATACATATCTGTGTAACGATAAATCATCAAGTAATTTATATATAGGTGTTCACTGTATTCCTATTCTAAAAAAAAAAAAAAAATTTTGACCAAAAAAAAAAAATATATATACAATAAAGTATGTCGGCTCTTCAAATCAAAGTACAACCTCACATCAAGAGATTAACTCTAGAAAGAGCAAGATTATGGTACATACTTCAAATTATTATTATTCATTCATCCGTTCATTTATTAATATCATTAAATTAAAATTAAAATAAAGGGCACCATCTGTCATAGGATTTGCTGGAACTCTTGGTACAGCAGCTTTACTCTTCACTGAAACAGTCCCAAGAGTTCGTCGAGACATTTTAAGCAATATTCCTATTCTTGGCAATTATTGGCCTCAAGCAGAAAAAAAATGAGTCTAGATTATTTAGATTCAAGCAATTGTCTTTTTTTTTTTAAAAAAAAATTTCTTAGTAAATAAAATTACAACTATTTAGTAGTTAATTTACAATATACTAAATTGATTCTCGGAAAATAATTATTTAAATTTAATAAAGAACGAAAGTTGACTTGATAGTTTTTATTTTTAATAGGAAATATGCTAAATTATACTGACTTAGTAATATAATATAATTAACTTTTTTGAGTATCTTATTTGGAACCTAAATAAAAATACTTTACTGTCCTGAACTAAAATGAGTGTTAGTTCTCTCTCTTTTTTCATTTTATATGATCGTGTCTTTATTAATACATTATTAAACATTATGTGCATAATAATTTATTTAGAACAATTTATTATTTTAAATAGAATAATTTAGTTACCAGTAATGCTATATAATAAATATTATGTTTTCTTGAAACTTTAATTTGTAATCAATTATCAATATTAAACATTAGCTTCCAAAACTGGGAGTGGCTTGTCGTAAGCAGGCGGTTTGTTGCATTTATGTTTTTTCCTAGATTTCTCATAACCAATTTCTGAAGGAATATTCCGCGGCGTCAATGTTTGTTGATTTTGATTTTGCTCATTTGTATTTGTGGATTGAATTGAGTTAGACGTTAATTGTTGCTGGTCTACTCCTTGCGCTTCTTGTTCAGGCTGAAATTCTATTAAATTGAACTGGTGTAATAAATCTTGGCTAGATTGAATTTCTGATGTCGAAACAAACGATGAAGATTGCGATGGTGAAAGTTGAATAGGTTGTAGACCCTGAATTTGTTTCTTAAAAGTTGGATGTCAGATTTAAGTTTTGCTATCTCATAAGTTTCAGTTTGGAAATCAAACAAAATGATTTTTGAATAAAATTATTATTTACCTGGTTGATATTTTTTTCCTGTGGTTGCATAAATATTTGTGGATACGAATTAAACAACATTTCTTGTAAAGTTTGCGTTGATAAAGAATTCTTTGCAAAGTCGGTATGTTCCTGTATCTGAGATGAGCACAATTGAGAAGCTAGAATTTGTTGCTGATTTGAATCAAATTTCATCTTCGAATATTCTTGTGAAATTAATGATTGATTATTAGTTCGAAAATTTTGAGGAACAAATTGAATGTGTGATTGTGATCGAGAATAACAGAATTTTTCCTGCATTTGAAATTGTTTATTTAAAGGATATAAGTTCATTTGAGATTGTAATATCGGTTGTGGTTGAGTTTGTAATAGAAAAGAAGGATTTAGCTCATTTGAATTGCATTGAGAAAAAGGTCCAACGTTCGATGGAAAAGGCTGACAAGGTTCCTCCTGCATATTTATTGTTTCTTGTGATGATGAAAACTGTTGTGATTGAAATTGAACCTGCGACTGGTTCTGTAATAAACTATGAGACTGATTGTGTTTTTGTATTGACCCAATTTCTGATTGGCTCTGTAGAACTGTCAGCAATTCGGTCTGACTTTGCGAAGCCAATTCAGACGGTTGTGGCGTTATCAAATCATTTTGGCTTTTATTCGGATGATCTCGCACTTCTAGTAACTGCTGTTGAGATCTTAGATGTATGTTTTTCTTGGAAGGTCGTCCTTTTTGTGCAGGAATATTTTTAACTGTTATACTGCCAGCAGGATAATTACATACAATATCGGCGGTTGATGAGGATGGAAGTGTTATTGTTGTCATATTATCTTGAGATGAACTCATCACAGAAGTAGAATCTATATTTGCAGATTCGCAAATATCATCAAATGCTTGCTGTAAAACTGCTTTAACTTTATTTGTATATTCATAGCTTGAGCATGCTAATGAAGCTACACGTGCTGCCAGAACTATGGTTTCAATCACTCTTTTTTCAGTCTCTCGAATCTTGATTTTCTTCCTATTTGTATGAAAATGTAGTTCGAATTGGCAAATATAATACATTTTATAATAAAATTTTTCATTTTTAATTATAATACATTCAATTAGAATACTAGATATTATATAATCCAATTTAAAGCATATTACAAACCTACCTCTCTTCTGCTAAACGATTATAAAATCTCCTTTCATCCCAAGATAAATTTGGGAATTCTTGTTGCATCAATTGTCTTATATCTCCTGTTAAAAATCCAGAATTGGCATATTCTGCTATCCTTTGAAGGACGTTAGGAGGCCAAGGAGCCGGAATATTTTCAGGAATTAAATCATGATTATGCTGTGCATGCTGCGGATTATTTGATTTCCTGAATTCCCATTGGTTGTTGTCATCTTTAAATAAGACAATTCTCCATTTACAGTCACATTTGATTGAGGAACGTTTTCGTTTAGTTTGTTTACTGGAATCAGCGACCCCTTCGCGTGAACAATAGATATAGATATTCTAAAATTGCAAGATAACAGAATTAAGAACTGAGTTTATTAATATAAATAGATCAAAGTTATCAATTTTATAAAGTCCTTTTAACTGATCTATCGATTAAAATTCAAATTAAAGCAAGTGTATTAATGATGACAGGATTAGCTACGAATTGGTTGTGTAATTGATTCAGTGTGCAATTTATATAATTTTATGCTTCTACTGTAGTATATCTCAGCCGCAGCAAATTCTATTATCGCAAATGTTGAAATATCAAACCAAGAAAGCGTAAAGGTACTGACCTTATTTGAACTGGTTTCCTGTTTCATTGTGAAACCATATTCTTTTGCTAACTGTCGACAATACGATAAGGCCTCTTTAGCACTCTGAAATTTCAAAGGTATAATTCGTGCATAAAAATTATCCATCTGTACACAAATAAGTCGGTTTCTTGTTTTAGTTATTTATCATGAATTTTTAATTCGATAAAATCAACTATCAATGAAAAAATTACCATAGTTGAAGGTGACATTTGTGTATTTATTTCATAAAAATGTAATGCATATAGGCTTGCAATCGCGTCACTTTGACTAGGAACGTAAGACATTATGATACTATAAATATACAACTTAAAAAAAGGTTAAAGGAAAGTTTAAAAAGACAGCAACGATGATAAGAAATAAGATAAATAAGGTAATATTAATGTTATTTATACTGTAATCTTATACTATATGATTACACATGCAAGTCGTCAACTAGCAAATTCGGAGATATAGATAAAAATGGATTTTACTATAATAAATATATATACTGCTGTCAAACACAAATAAATTGGAATTTGACACTGACATTTATTGACATTTATTAAGGGGCATCATGTCAGATTTGTTATTGCATATATTGCATAGCACTACCCAAACTGTATTTTCATATAAACAAATAATAACAAGGATCGAAAGTGTTTTTCCAAAAGAAGCCAACCGCAGTTTATTACATCAGATCATCAGACCTTTATTTGTAATATAATACAATAACATATTTTAATGATCTATCTAAGGAAGGTTAAAGTTCAGAGATACTGTATATCAATTGTACCAAGTAAAATTTTATGACTAATCTTTAATACAACATTGAATCAATTCAAACTATTAGAGAATCAAAGTTCTTCATTTCTGATGGGTTATTACAATTTATTATAGACCCTTTTAAATGGTTTTTTGATCTATCTGCCTTTCAAAGCATCCAAGAAAAACTCTTTCTGTTTCTTAATAAAAACGCATATTACCTTAGGTCCTTAGGTAATAATAAAGATTGTAAAATGAGGCTTATCTTTTTAGCGGATAAGTTCTATTTCTGCGATTGTGGAAATCACATCTTCCGAATATGGATAGATAAAATCTTTTGCTCTTTGATACATTAAACAAATTATATAATGCAAGTTCTTCCTAAAAAGGAAAATATTACATCAAAATTCACGTCATCCTCATTTTTGTGACCCCATGTACATGAGGAATAAATCATGTTTGACCGTATATTTTAAATATTTGTATTTTTATTTATCAACAAGATTATTTTAACTCTAAAGATTTTCCGACACCGTATATTTAATATGATTCGTACGAAAGATGACCTTCTTTTCTTCTAATCTTGCTCTCAGTTTGCAACTCTTTCTTTCTTTCATTTAATCTCTTTAACCTATCGACTTCAGTTGAAACTTTTTTGTCCAGGTCATCCTTAGACATTTCCTGTGATTTCATCATTTTTTCTACATTTTTATCAAATTTTTTTTGTCCTTTAATATGATTCAATGATTTTTTAAAATCTCGTTTCTCCATTTTTGGAGCTTGTCCATCTTCAATTATTGTAGGGGATACTCTAAGAGATGGCTCAAGCTCTATTCTTGCTAATCGTTTTATGAGCATAGAATATTTTAGATCTTCTGGTGTATCCACATATTCTAAAACTGCCATTGGTGCATTATCACCATCACGATATCCTAGTTTATGGATGCGTGTGTAACCTCCTTCACGAGTTCGATAACGATCTGCCATCTCATTAAAGAGTTTGGGAATTGTCAAACGATGTTCCTATATATATAAAAAAAGGTTCAAACAAACTATGACTTATAAAGCTGCAATGCTCAAAAAACAAAATGATAAATAAATAAATTTATTCGAAGAGTTCTTAAACAAAGTTTAATACTTACCCGAAGAAACCTCATTGCTTGAGTTTTGGCATGTTCGTCCCCCCTCTTTCCCCATGTTACCATCTGTAGTTGTTATATCCATAAAAATATAATGAATGCAGAATTCTTGTAAGGATAAAAATAGTGTTAATATTGTTCACTTTTTAAATTATTCACCTTCTCAGCTAGTCTACTTGCCGCTTTAGCTTTCGGTAAAGTGGTTCTTATTCTATTGTGTACAATTAAAGAGGAAACCATGTTTCGTAACATTGCCATTCGGTGACTAAAGTTACGGCCTATCTTTTTGTGATGTTTTCCGTGTTTCATTTTTGATGTTTGACGTATTATTATTAATTTAGTTATTAATAAGTCATTAAATAATGAGGGCAAGACGAAATTCAAATTAAAGTACGAAAAAATACATCTTTTATATGGTGATCTAATGATATGCAATGAAAAAAAATTGTGATCTGGTGTGACATTTGATAATTTTTCGAAAAAAAATCTTTAGTAATAAATTTATTAAAATATCAGTGTAGCATTCATATACTGAGAAAGGAACGAAAGGAACGAAAGGAACGAAAGGAACGAAAGGAACTACGATATGCAAGTATTAGAGAGTACTAGCTTGTAAATTTGACTCATCAGGGTTTCTTTACGAACAGAAATTATTGAAATGCAAACCAATTTTGAGAACAAAGTTACCGAAACCTACGAACGAGCGTTTAGACGCGGAGAGCTATATTTTGTAGAAAGCACTATTGCTAATATAACAGAGAATGATATTGAGGTATTTCTAATAAGCTTATAGTGAAATTATAAATTAATTTCTAGTTACTCAAAGGTTACAGTTTGAAATACGTTTTGCTCCTAGTTTAGCAAAAAAACCTACAGCTGAGCAAACGGAAGAAAGCCCATTAAAACATAAGGCTGATCCATTCGCACCATATAATCAAGAACTCTTTGTACAGGAATTTGAGAACCACGTTATTTTATTGAATAAATTTTGCGTAGTTCCTAATCATGTCTTGGTTGTTACCAAAGGTATTTACAAATTTCTAGATTTTCAGATTCTCATGAAATAATTATTATTATATTATAATCATGAATGGGAATTTTGACTAGAATATGAAGAACAATCGAATCTTCTTAATCAAGAAGATCTTGCTACTATGTGGTATTGCATGATGCAAACCAAGAGTCAAAGTACGATTGCTTTCTATAATTGTGGTAGCCTTTCTGGTTCAAGGTATTGATATAGAAGAAAGAAGTCTTCAATTTTTTGTTTATTAAGTGCTCAAAATTAACGAATTTTTACAAATCATGATATAAGTCAGCCACATAAACATATGCAAGTTATTCCCTTACCGAGTAATGTCCGTTTTAGTCCTCCAATTAACGCTATTATTTACAAATATCAGAATAAAGTGCCAGGTAAAAATATTATTCAAAATTTAATAATATTAAGGTTATGATTTATTAACTAAATTTGTATTTTAATTACGTAGGTGAAATTTTTAATTTTTCAGAATTGCCTTACGTTCATTATGTGACTCTACTAGATCCTCAACAATTGAGCGGACATCATGGCCATAATTATAAAGAGACTGTTAGTCAATATTTGACTGAAAATTATCTTTCATTGGTAAACACTATGGCCGAGGGATTTCGCGCTTCATCATTGACTGATCCTTTTTCATACAATTTTTTGATGACTCACACTTGGATGATGATAGTGCCAAGACGTGGCGAGAAATATGGGCAAATTTCTGTTAATTCCCTTGGATTTGCGGGGATGCTTTTGGTAAAGAGTGAGGAAGAATTAGAATTTGTTAAAAATGTTGGGTTACTACGTGTTTTAGAAGGCGTAGCTGTCTCAAAGGATAAAGACCAATTAATCGATAATATCCATATTTCAGTATGATTAGAGACTGCATAATGTGCATTTTATTATTATTGTAAGTTGTCTCTTCGCCAATTATTGGTTTGGCTGATATCTAACCCAAATTGTATTTATTATAATTATTAAAAAATTACATTATCGCCATATTAATAAAACAAACGTAATAATTAAAATATGTTTTTGCTACTTAGCCAGTCTGAGATGCATATCTTAGCAGATATTTGATTTTCTTTCTGGTAAAAAAATTTTTTACCAGGAAACAATAATCATTATAAGGATTCAACCATTAAAAAGACTGCATAAGAAATTAAATTACTATCCGCATCGTACTTATCTTTTATTAGGCTTATTGATTTTATAACGCTATAAAAGGGTTTATACGAATATCAGAGAACCTGGATACCTTTTTGGGTAAATTTAATGTAAACGAGTTTGTAGAAATGTCTTACAAACGTTATTTTAAAGTATTTTACTTGTTAGCCATATTTGTATATTATTTGTTATTCTACCAGAAATAAGGTTACAGATCACCAAAGAACAAACTTTTTGTGACACCAGTGGATCGGGTTTTTTGTATTCCTAATTAAATTTGTATTGATGCAAGGAATAGGCGAACCGTCTTCAGCCCGGGTTTTGCTCTTGTTGTAGAACAAATTTGGCGTGCGAAAAAAAAACAACGTTATCCCCATCAGTAAAAAAAAAATGATAAAATTTCAATATATAAAGCGTCGCGAAATTCCTCGTTTTTTGAAGCAAAAAATACAATTTTTTTTACATTTAATTAAGAAAAAACGAAAAAACTAAAAAATTTTTTTTACATTTTAATTAAGAAAAAAACTAAAAATGAAAAGTCTCTTCAATAAAGCCATGAAACGCTTTAGCGGTGACGGTGACACAATAGCATCGTCTTATACTTCCACTACCACTACTACAACACGTTATGAAAATGGTACGGAATTATTTAATTAATTAATTTATCAATTTTTTTTTTTAAAAAAAAATAAATTATCTCATAATTCTTATTAACTTTATTAATTGGTAATAGGTGTACCTGTTGAAGTAATTACTAAAACTACTACAAACGATGAACCCGCTGAAGTAATTACCAAACCTCTTACAAACGACGAACCCGTTGAAGTACTCGAATATGAAGTGCACGAGCATGAAGAAACAACGCCCGTAGAATGCGATGTTGAAAAACCAGTAGAAAAACCAATAGCAAAATTAATAACAAAACCAGTCGAAAAACTCGCAAAGAAACCCAATAAAAAAACCGAAGAACGTGATCCCGATGAACCGGAAATGGGTCATGAAAGTATTGTAGGTTACCAGGGCGAAAGAAGTGATCCTGCTAGGTTTGTATTTGTTTATTTGTTGTTATTTAATTTGTAATTTTTTTATATATTAAATATTCTTTACTGTTTTGATAGTCGATGTTGTCCTATTGTAGTTGCTGATGAATTCGAAAAGCATCTTGATCTAACTGGTAAGTTTCCTATGAAATCACGTGTAATTTCGATTCAAAAATTTAAATTATTTTTTTTTTTTATCAGATCACGATTTTTCTAAAGTCGATAAGTACGCCAGAGAAACTCCAGCGAAGGAAGCTGAAAATACTGACCGATTATCTAAATACCTTACTAAACCTTGGAATGAAGAATTAGATAAATTACGTTGCATTTTTACTTGGATTACTGAAAACATACGTTACGATACCGATGCATTTTTTGGAGGCAACATTAAACATTGTGGTCCAGAAGATGTTTTGAAAACTCGTAAAGCAGTATGTGATGGATATGCTGGATTATTTGATAAATTGACCAGTGATGCTGGTTTAAAAGTTTGGAGAATAAGTGGAAAATCTAAAGGTAAATAAATCTTTAAAATATACGTTTAAACATATCGTATTATTTATAACACGTGACTATTTAATTATTTTCAAAGGTGCTGGCTTTAAACCTGGTTGTAACATTGATAGTCGACAATTTGATCATGCTTGGAATGGTGTACTTTACAAAGGAGAATTTCTCTTGGTTGATAGCACATGGGGAGCTGGATATCTTAATGGAATGGACTTTGAAAGACGTTTTGAACCATTTTATTTTCTTTGTTCTCCAACTCAATTCATTTATAGTCATTATCCAGAAAAACCAGATCATCAATATGTTGAACCAAAACTTACTAAAGAAGAATTTCTTGATATGCCATATGTTAAACCACAATTTTTTACTTCTGGATTAAACTTTGTTAAACATATCGGTACCGGAATTGAAATATCAGATGATAAAGTTGAATTTGAAATTGAAAGAGTTCATCCGGATGAGAGCAAACCTTTACATGCTACTCTTGAATGGGAAGGTCATAACGAAGATATACCAGTAATGATTCAAAGGCTTATTACACCTGGACCAAGAGGTGGCAGAAAATTCAAATTATCATGTACTTGTCCAAGCAAGGGTGAGGGAGAATTTAACATTTTTGTTATGTTGGAGGGTAATAGTGTAAGTATTATTTTAAAATCTTTTAATCTAACAATAATAAAATAATAATAATAATAATATTTATTTTTTATTTTTTTTTTTTTAGGGACCAATGGTATCTAGTTTTAAACTTAAAAATACAGGATCTGGAAAAAATTATGCACCATTTGTAGATACTTATAGTGTACCATTTAGTTTTACAATCCATAATCCTATTCATGCAAAATTAAATTATAATGATAATGTTAAATTTGAGGTTACAATATTTGATTTGCCCGAATCAGAATTACCTTCATTGGCATTATTCTTACCAGAAAAGTCTGCAAGAGATCTTCAAAAAGTTTCAATTCAAAAAGTTACAAATGAAAAAGATAGTTATACTTATGCAATTGAAACTTGTATTGATCAAAAGGGCAAATGGGGTTTAACTTATCACACTAGCCCGACCCAATTTAGTTTTATTGCTCAATATACTGTTGAGTAAATTAATTTATTCACTTATGATAAATTATTTGGATGAAAATATATAATTATTTATTGATTTATTTATTAATTTTTATATTAGTGTAAAAAAGAAATATTATGTATCATTATAAATTAAATAAATTAATAGTATTTTTTGGTTTAAAATATATTGATAAAATAATAACATAAATTAAATCCTTCTATATAACGCCATTACACTATTAGGATATATATTTATTAGTTTAAAAGCATGTAATAACAATTAAACAAACATATTCATATTTAGTGTGTAACATTCTAACATTAATTTTTTTACTGCTTTTTTAAATAATACTAAATTAAATAATCAATAGTCTATTTAATAGTAGCATTAATAACAGTTGGTACAGTACATATACCCTTTTCAGTTCTAAGTAAGTGTACACTTTTATCCTCATTATTAACCCATGATGCTTCTTTCTTATTAGTAGTTATTAATCCAGGTTGTAAAGTTTCCCATATCTTCTTCTTTGGATTTAATACGGGTTCAGGAGTCCCTTCTATAATAGAAATGTTAATTAATAAGCGATAAAATAATTAAATAAAAAGTCATAAATATTACCCACCTTCATATCCCTCAAAATATGCTCTGTCACCTGGTTTAGATCCTGGCGGAGGATCAACAAGTTCTACTTTACCTTCGGCTGACGTTGCTGCAAGGACCATAGCATATGACTTAATTCCACGCATTCTAAATTTTTTAAAGAAAATTAAGAGGAAGTTAATAATAAAGAAAAATAAGTATTTTATAAAAATATTTTAACAATAAATTACTCACGACGCTGGTTTCAAATTACAAACTAATACAACGTCTCGATTCTTACAAAAAAAAATTACTCAATAATTCGCTCAAAAAATTAAAACGTTCAGAAAAGTAAATAAACTAACCTGCATTTGATCCAACGGAATATGATTAACTAGACCACTAACCACAGTCCTCGGTTCAGCTTCACCAACATCGATTTGTTCAACATATAATGAATCTGCATCAGGATGCTTATCAACTTTGACAATATGTCCAACGCGAAGATCCAGTAGAGAAGGTGAAATAATTGATGATGTTGCTGTTGATGTCTCCTTCTCTTTCTTATCAGCTTTTTTAGCAGCTTTCTTGTCTGCCTTTTTACCTTCAGTTACTTCATTCCCTTTTGATTGATCCTTTGTTGTCTTATCTACCTTGGATTTTTTAGGTTCAACTTTCTTTTCAACCTATATCAAGAAGATAATATTAATAAATTGTTATTTACATTTAAATTAAAATTTCATAAATTAAAAATATTATACTTTTGGTGCTTCCAAATCAATCTTCACAGTATTCAAACCACTTTTAGGGCCTGATTTGGAAGCTGCAGTGTTTTGAATAAAATCAAACCAACGCGTTAAATTTGGTAATTCAAATCGTTCATTTGAAGATAATTTTTCCTATAAAATAGAAATGTTTAATATTTTATAAATTAACGTTATTGTTGTTTAAAATACTTACTACAGAATTATAAATTCTAGCAAATGCAACTAAATCTGCCACAGTTAAATAATTTTCAACAATATAAGTGCGAGTGGTTAGATGTTCATTTAATTCCTAAAAATACAATAAAGTAATAAATTAATCAGATTAAATCAAAATAAATAAAGAACATTCAAAATTACCTTTGCCACTTTAGATGGATTTTTATCGGCTTCTTCAGTTAATTTCAACCACTTTTGAACCTATTTATTATCATATATAAATCACTTCGATTCACTTTATAAACTGTCATATAAATATCTTACCTCAGCCGCGTTAGTTTCATTTTTTGCTGCTAAACCAGTAATAAAAGTTTCGGTCAAACCATTAACTACGGAAGTAGTTCCTGTAAGTATTTTACCGTCTTCGAGAGTTAAGGTTGAATTCTGAATTAAAAAATATTTGTTAATAATTTTAAAAAGGATTTGGTGAATACGAGAAAACAATACCTCAGCGCTAGACTCTTGAAGTGATACATTAATTGAGTCTAAATAATTATAAACTAATTTAGTGGTTATGTCGTTTGGTGAAAGAGCTAAAGTCGCTACCATTTTTAATTCTGTTGGGCAAAAAGATAAGAATCAAGATTACAATATACAAAAAGTTATCTGATAATCTCATAATCAATAGCCAATAGGACGATTGTATATTTTGTATATCCTCATATGGTAAAATTTTGATCAGGTATAAATTATAAAAATTTCATTTCTTTAAAACGAATGTCTCAAGCCATTGGAAATGTACCACATTTTTATTAATTATATATATTGTTCAAATATATAATATCTTAGTTTAATTAACCTGGATATAACTCGTTTTTACAGACAGCATTAGCTTATGCTAGAGTATGGCATTTAGTTGATGCAAGACAAAGAATATTAGGTCGTATGGCCACGCGTATTGCAACCACTTTAATGGGAAAACATAAACCCATTTACGATCCTGCATGTAATTATTATAATTCTTTATATTATAAGACGTGATAAATTTTTTTTTTTTAATTAAAATTTTGTTTTTTAAATAGCTGATTGTGGAGACTATGTTGTTGTTATTAATGCAAAAGAAGTAATAGTAACTGGCAAAAAAGCTGAACAAAAACTATATAGACATCATACCGGATATCCTGGAGGTTTAAAAGAAATTGTATATAAAGATTTACAAGAAAAGAAACCTGATGAGGTATACTCTACACTTTTAATCTATTAAAAGTAAATTTCCTATTTCTTTACTTAGTTTAAAAATATTATTTTATCTAGATTATCAGAAAAGCAGTTTCAGGAATGTTACCAAAAAATAAATTAAGAGAAAATCGATTAAGTAGATTATATGTTTTTCCTGATGAAGAAAATCCTTATGAACAAAATATTACTAAAATTTATGATAAAACACTTGTTGATCAATTTGGATTGCCCAAACTAACAAAAAGTGAGAAGAGAAAGAAATTTAAAGATATAAAAGCCATCACTTCTGAAGTAGTTTTTAAAAATAAAAAAGAAAATAAAGAAAATATAGAAAACATGAACAAATAAAAGAATATTATTTTAATTATTTTAATGATATATCCCTCAATCTATACATTTTCCTGGTTGACTAGATAATACTTTTCAAAGTAAATTTATCCAAAATAACTTAGTTACATCTACAAGTATCATCATATCCTCTCATAATCATAATAGACAATTTCTAATATTATTTTATAATGTATCGATTCATAGATATTTAACAGAATATTCAAGGTATTTTATATCTTGTGTAGAATTTCAAATCCTTAATACTTAAATCACAAGCCAGTAAATTTTTTCACTTTATCCAATATTATTAATTAATTTGATTTCTTCGCTAGCAATTGGTTGATTCAATTGTATTATCTAAGGGATATCTATAATCAAATTTTTGTGCATCTCTTAATCCATCAATAATATAAGCTTCAACCATATATCCATTATACTCAAAAGAATCTACAAAAGAATCGTTTGTTCAATCAATTGTTTAAATTGTTGAAATTTAATTTAAATTTCCTCAAAAAAATATCTTGCATCACTATTTCTATAAGGTGAGTCTAAAAAGACGATTTTTAATTAAATTAAATTCATCATCAAAGAACTTCGATATTTGAGTAGAATGTGACTTAAATGCTGAACTTCTTTCCTCCATATTAGCATCATGATGATGTGACACTCTATATTTGATCCAAATCTATAGTTTAGTAATAATCTTTAATTATTTATGTATACCTGGAATTTCATCAACAAAGCTAAATTATTTGATTATATTTTAAATATCTATCCGTAATATTCATAATTCAAAAAAGAAGTAAACGGTTTATTAGAATTAAGCAAAATTAAATAGAATAAATACAAAGACTTACATACAAAAAAGAATAAGTAAGACAAGACTTAAAGAAAATATCGTTAATCAGTTTAATTCGTCGGGAAATCTCGTAATTTTTTATTTATCATAGTATAATTGGAGCGATTATTTTTCATTTGATCATTTTCGAATTCATGAGTTTTTCGTTCTTTTTAATTGATAAATTTAGACCATATATAGTTATTATCCAAAGACTTCAAAGTCGTGAACAGAAAAAATATAAATAAACAATTCGAGATTATCTATCCGATTATCATAATTTTTATATAATCTTAAATATGATTTTGGCTAATTTGTATATGGTCATTCTTATAATAAGTAACAGAAGCGATTATGAATCTTACGTATATTTGTTTATAAAGTAGCAACGCCAATTATTGTTAAGCAGTTCGTTATGCCAGTAGTTTTCTTATATAATTATATAATTAAGATGCGTTAAACTGCATACGATTCGTTTGAGAATACTCGTGAGAATCAAAATTTTGATGAGAAATTATATATGCTTCCCGTATGATCCGTATTTAGCATGAATTTGGCAGTTTTAAAAAGAATCAATCATCCTGAAAAAAAATTGTTTCTACGATCGAATCAGTTTTAAATTTTTTTTTGCTCATCAACCGTTCATAATAAAAAAAAATCATGGCTGAATTTGACGGAGAGGTTTGTATAGACTTTTGTTAGTAAAGTTGTAAATATATCAACGCGCAGAGATAATAATAAGTAACTTTTTAAACATTAATGTACTTTTCAACAGATTGATCAAAATCATCCAACATCTTTAAATGATAGTTCCTGTTAAAATTGATATTTTTTATCGGCTTAAACGTCATCTTTCTCAACAACCCGTTGAACGTGTTGTAATTGGGATAATGTGTACGTTTGTTTTGATTGCAGCAATTTTCTATGCGGTAAGTTTATAAGTATGTTTTTACGTTTAATTAATTTAAAAATCTAATGAATCTTTTTATAAAAATAGATTCCTAGTAAACCTTCCTCTTTTTTCCAAAATTTTGCTGATACGACAAATGATATTTTTAAAAAAATTGATAATGTTGATCTTCCAGGTAAAAAAAAAATTATTCAAATAAAAAGATTTTTTTCGTGAATATATAGTTATACATAATTTCGCTTAATGTGATATAGCCGCAAGTTCAATAATGAAACATACTGTTGCATGTCGTAGAGCAGCAAACATGATTCAAGGAAGTCCAGCATTTAAGTCTCATGGTTCTCAAATTGCAAAAGGATTACGTAAATTTGGAGAAAAAATAATGGAAGCGGGTCATTTATTACAAAAAATGTATAGTAAAGGTTCATCAGTATATAAATCTTTTGATATGGAAATCGAAGCGATGATGAATCGATTAAATTCAAATTACATACGACGAGGTGAAGCAAGTTATTTTAAAGAAAGAATAAATGTATTAATAACAAAAATTAAAGAATTTAGAAAATTAGTTCAACAAACTCATACCTCTATACATAACGCAGAAAATATTAGACACGATACTGAGGGTTATATTTTTGATGGATTGAGAGAAGCTGAAAATTTTATTGCTAATAACAATCATTGTCGTTCGGTTGATATTTCTAAAGCCAAAAAAGAACTTTGGACTGTTAATAATATTTTAAATCACTTACACAAAACTGCTGTTCATTTAGATATGATGGATTATGAAGATAAATTAATGGATATTTCTGCCGAACTTGATAAAGTTGGTGGAACTTATGATTTCTTTGAAGTTACGAAATCAGATCTCAGATATTTAAAATATGCTGTTGAAAATTCAAAATCCAGTCTATATAAATTTCATAAGAAAGCTTTAGTTTCTAATTAACAAATTTAAATTTCTTAAATATGTTGTATATTTTTTTCTGATCATATGTTAATGAAATTATTTATAGATCAATGATGATTATGATTATTGTTACTGGTTTTTTACCATGGAATTTCATAATGTTGTAAACTTTATAATTTAATGCGGTCACAAATTTTCGAAATTCTACGTAATATTCGGAACAAAATAAGTTAGTTCATTAATTTCTGATTTAACAACATATATAATGAATATTTTAAAGTTTATATAGAATTGATGGTCCGTGAGAGTAATTGTCCGGAAAAACTTGGGTCTTTTTTTCTTTTTGATTCCATATTTGGTTAGATTGTGAGTTGTGACATAACAACTAGTCAATCTGAAAAAAGTTTAAAATGAACTCTGCGGATTTTGCGATTCTAAAATAAAATTTTTGAATTTTGAATTTCTTTTTTACGTTTTATTTTTTTTTTTTTTCAAAAATAATAATTATAAATGACTGAATCTCAACAAGATTTTGATGAAAATGTTAACGAAAAGAAGGTTTTAAAAAAGCTTTTAGTTCCAAAATAATTGACAAATCAAGAAAATATTAAATTTAATTTCTTTCTTATTTAGAATCAAGAAATAAAAACTGAATCCACTATACCAGTTAGTGATAAAGAACACGATAATGTTTCTACACCTAATAAATTAGATATTAATTTGGTAAATATAGATTTTAAAAGAATAAGTTTTGATATTAAAATTACAATTTTTTTTTTTCTTACGAATATTTAATTTATACAGGAAAACGAGGAAATAACAAGTAACGTGGATAATCAAACAAAACCTCCCAATGCTTTGAATGAATTAATTGACAACGAACAAAATTCTTCAAACTTTTCGGCTATTTCTAATGACGATAAACAAACCAGTTCTCCAAACATTTCGATCATTTCGAATGAAGATAGACAATTCAACCCTTCAACAACATTAAATAACAGTTCTCCAGAAATCTTGACCAGTTCAAATGAACCAAATAACGATAAGCAAAACAGCTCTTCAAACACTTTGAATGATTCATCTGACGATAAACAAAATTCTTCAGTCATTTCGAATGATGATAATGATAAACAAAGCAATGATGACAAACAAAGCAGTTCACCAAATATTTTTAATGATGATAAACGAACCATTTCTTCAAATATTTCGAATGACGATAATGATAAACAAAGCAGTTCTCCAAATATCTTCAATGAAGATAAAAAAAGCAGTTCACCAAATATTTCGAATGACGATAATGATAAACAAAGCAGTTCTCCAAATATTTTCATTGAAGACAAACAAAGCAGTTCTTCAAATATTTTCAATGAAGATAAACAAAGCAGCTCACCAAATATTTTTAATGATGACAAACAAACCAGTTCTACAAATATTTCAAATGATGTAAAACAAATCTCTCAACCCATTTCACCCATTTCGAACGACGACAAAAAAACCAATTCTCCAACCATTTCACCCATTTCGATTGACGATAAAAAAACCAACTCTCAAACTATTTCACCCATTTCGAATGACGATAAAAATAATTCTCCAACCGCTTCATCCATTTCAAATGACAATGAAAAAATCAATTCTCCAACCGCTTCACCCATTTCGAATAAATTATATGATAATAAGCAAAATCAAACCACTTCGAATGAATATTTAAATGATAGCTTGGTAAGTATTTAAAGTATAGTGTGGCATTAAATATCACTTTGAAATCACACAAGAACAAAACTTACAATTCTAAATATTAATGTTTTAGGAAGAATCCATTCAGCCCTCAGACACTAATAAAGATTCTTCTAACAGCGAAGATGATATTAGTTCGGTAAATATTTTTAATATCTGTCATAACATTTATTAATTCCAATATTAAAATTTTTGACGACTATTAGAATGCAATCATGAGTGAATCAGAAATCCAAGATGAGGTTTGTTAAAACATCACTTCAAAATTAAAGATTTACGATTCTAATTATTTATTTATATTATGTATGACATGACTATTGATTCTTTTGACTGTTGAAAATTTGGAAAAACAAAACTCTTAGGAATATGAAATGGTTAAGGTTTGTTAAAGAGTAGCAATATCAAGAATTAAATTTACAATTCTAATTATTATGCTGAACCCAACAGCCCGCTGATTCTATTGAAGATCTTTCTAAGCATGAAACCAACGATGTTAACGATGTTGAATATAGTTTTATAAAAGAACATGATGTATGTTGCAACAATTAATCAATTCTTATTACTAAAACAAAGATATTTGAATGAATCTGAATCTCAATTAGAGAATAACAAATATAACTTCGAAATTCAGCTTAAGAACAGTTCTATTTTTTAATTTCTTAGAATTTCTCAGAGTCTATTATAGAAGATCCATCTAAACATAAGCCTAACGATGATGATATTAATATGGTAAAAAATTTAGTGCATGCTATATCATTTATTAATTCCTTTGATTTACAATAACGTTAAAAATTTGGTTCAAAAACAGAATAATGAAAATAAATCTTCAGTTAAGAAGGTTTGTTGATGAGTATTAAAGAATTACTTCGATGTTGAACAAGAATTAAACTTAATAATCTAAATTTTTTCTAGTTTAATAATAATGAAATTGTTGAAAGCCCTTCCGATGATGAATATTATGATGATGATGATGATGATTCGGTAAATATTTAGTATATTGCGCAATTTTATTAATTCTTTTTATTTATAATAAGATAAAATTTTTAACCAATAGCATAATGAATCCGAATATACCGAGAGGAAGGTTTGTTAATAAATGTTTAAATGTCGTTTCGGAATTGAACAACGACAGAACTTATAGTTCGAATATCGCAAACTTTTAGGAAGATCATAAAACGATAGAAGAAGAAATTCAGCTCCCCATCACCGATGTTAATGAATCTAAATCATTTAATGTGTCTGATTATAATCTGGTACGTACGCAAATATTTGTTAAGTTCATTTGATTTTAACAACATTAAAAAATTAATTTTGAATCCAAAATAAAAATTTTTTGTATATTGAACCTAAAAAGGTTTGTTAACTATAAAAATTTGCAAAATTTTGCTCATAATAATGAATTCGATATCAATAACTTTATTTTTTATTAAAATTTTTTTAGAATGAAGTTCAATTTGTCGATCAACAAATTCGCGAAAGACGACGACCCAACCAACATCAACAAGAATTATCATCACCTTCCGAAAATAATATCTCATTAAAAAATTCCAACGTTAGAACCGACACTCCATCCATTTCTTTTCTTGAAATTTTTAAATATATTTTTTATTTATTTGTGGTTTTCGCTTTACTTTACTTTGTTTACGACGTTAACGTGAGTTACAAGTTATTAAACCTTTTGTTTATATATGGTATCTTGAACAGTGTCTTACAATAATAATTCTTTTTTTTTTATAAATAGAGACTTAGTAATAAGCCCTCTTCTCTTCGAAATATTGCTGATATAACCAATAATATTTTTGAGGAAATTAATAGTGTTGAACTTCCAGGTAATTTTAAAAAAATTAATTTCTCGTTTAATATTTATTTCATAATTATTAATCTATCTTAATGGTATAGACATAAATACAATATCGGACTATACAGTAGAATGCCGTAAAGCAGCAATTATGGCTGAAAGAAGTGCATCGTTTAAGTCTTATGGTAGCCAAATAGCAAAAGGATTATTCCAGATAGGGGATTCAATATATAAATCACGTCAATTATTACAATATATGTATAGTAAAGGTTCAACATTACGATCATCATTTGAATCAGAAATTGATGCGATATTGCAAAGACTGAATTCAAATCATATACGACAAGATGATGCAAAATATATTCGCGATAGATTAGATAAACTAACGAAAAAAATTAAAGACGTTAGGTTATTGGTTGAAAAAAGTCATAATTCTATACTTGATGTAAGGAAAATTAGAAACAAGATGGATGATGATATAACAAATGGATTAAAAGATGCTGAAAAATATAATAAGAATGAAAAATATTCATCTGATATCAGTAAAGTTAAGAAAGAACTTGAGAATGTTGATAATACTTTATCTAAATTATATATTAATGTTGGTCATTTAGAAAAGTTGAGAGAAATTTTAAATGATCATGAAGGTAAATTAATGGGTGTTTCAGATGAACTAGATGAACTTGAAGGCAAAACTAGAATTCTTAAACCTGATATCAAACATTTAATACTTGCTGTTGAGAATACAAAAGTTCGCAATCATATCTTTAATAGGCTTGCTAATACTGATTAAGTATTCATTTATACTGATATTGTGATATTAAATATATATATTTCTTAAATAAATATGCTTATTTTGAATAACAAAATTACTCGAATTTTTTTAATAATGTATTTGTGTACTATAGAATTAAGAATACTATTCTGAATTGGTATTGTTCGAAAGAATTCTTCCCATAAGAGATGTTTGTATATTACTATAAAATTAAGCTCTAGTTTTAATACAATTGTATATGTGATTCAGTGATGCATGGCATTTGTAATTAGAATTTAACATAAACAAAGTACATAATTGATGAGGAAAAAAACGATAGTCTTTTTAATAAGTAAATTCAAAGGCTAAAGCATGGAATTAAAATGTCGTTATTGAATGTTGCACCTTTTTCTAATCGACAGAAAGATCTTTGATTTACATCGGCCCTTTGCAGATTGCCTATTTAGTGTGCATTAATTGAGAAACCCTTAACTAGTTAGAGGTTATTCAATCTGCTAATCATAACAAAATTTTCTTTTTTATGCACGCACGCTAGCGCACAGAAAAATCCTTTTAATGTACGTCTTTGTATTTTTACATTTCAATCAGAGTATGCAATGATACTTTATAATTGTAAAATAAATCTTACTATAATAAACCGGTAAAAGTAAACCGCCTTGGGTTATCAAGTACAACACAGAATGATAGAATAATAGTAGCCAAAACTTTAGAAAAATAATTCAACATTTCTTAGTTTATAATCTGAGAGACTACATAAATTAATTAAATATTTTTTATTGTTAACAATCTCGATATTTTTAAAAGAATAAATAATATTTCAATCAATGAAATAACCTGCCGAAATAAATGGAATAATGAGCATGTAACAATCACTTTGAAAACAAGCATTTAGAAAAGATAATCATCGAAGAATTTTGGAAATCTAATTGACCCATTCTGATTCTTATCTGAATATAATAAAGTAACAATCATCTTAGCAATTTAAATTCAAAGTTCACAATTAATAATAATTCTGAAAGAGTTTCTTACCTTTATTTTCACACCAATGATGTTAGAATCATAATAATACAAATATAGTAAAAATAAAAATTGAATATATGCGAAAGTTTTAAAGTTATTTACATCGCTACAAAATTTATTTCTTGTTTTTTTCTAAATTTATCTCTAATACGTTTCTATCCCTCTCTCTACTGTATCATCCATCTCATTATCAATATCATCTTCAACTAATGAATTATCATCATCACAAATATCATGTGTAAGTTGAGATATTATAAGTCATAAAAATTGAGTGTTCATGATATAGAAAAACTAACATCGTATATACGAAGTAAGTATATGATATTTTACAATTGATAAATTCTCCAGATGGTTCTATTATAAAAACAGTTGCTCTCTTTTAGAAATCACTAGAAAATGGCCTCATCAATTGCTCCTATCATATGGAAATCCAAATGAATGGCTATTAAAATTTAAAAGAATGATTAGCATTTTTAATTATTAACAATAAAATAAGCAAGCGAATGCCTGGCCTTCTGGAAAGATCTTCAGACTTGACATATTCAACGCGTGAAAGTGTGTATGCACAAAATTAAAAGAAGAAATTGTATGCTGCCAAAATTAAATTTTGAAATTTTCAATTTAATTATCGATTTTTCGAAGTTAATTACAAATAATTAATTAACCAGTCAGGAAACGTTACCTTTAGCTTCGTAAGTTAATATCAAGTTATTTCCAAATGCGCTCATTAATAGCACTTAAAATCTGTACTTTCCTAATATTACGTCAGTATGTTAATATAAATATCCTAGTTCTTTAAATTTCCCACAGACGCGTAAGTGAGTTTTAGATTATCACACAAAATTTGATTTGAGATATCACAATCCGGAAAAAAACTCGTATAACAAATGTCATTGATTTCTGGATTTAGTTAGACTTGTGAATGTTTATAACATTTGCAGATGAAAGTTATTATTCCTTCATTCTCCCAAAAATTTTTTTTTAAAAAAAATTAAAATGATTAATAGAAAGGTTAGTTTATTAAAAAATATCTGATAAAAAATTATTATTATCGTCATTTATTATTTTAACATTATTATAAAAATATTATTTAGCTTACCGAATACGCTGAGGACGAAGGTCGTAGAAAACCTACTTATCGTTATATTCATGCAACTAAAGAGGAACAAGAAATTCGTGAAAGAAAAAATATACCTCGTCAAGAGTCAACGGATCAAACTTCTTCATCTTCAAACAATAATGATTCCAATATTATAAATAATTTAATATATTATTTAAATTTAATAAGAGATAAATGTCCTCAATTATCTCGCAAAACTAAAATTGGGGTAACCTTCACCGTTTTAACGATGTTATTATACTACTTTGTAAGTTTATTATAAATTTTGAGTTTTTCTTTTATATTATGGGTATATTTTTTTAAGGTACATATAATATGTATATAATTGAAATAGTTAATTCCTGAACAACCGCCTTCTGCTTTTATTCGAGATTTTGTTGATACGACAACAACTACTTTTGAGGAGATTAATAGCGTCGATCTTCCAGGTATTTTTACATACCTTAAATCTGGCAACCATTTTGTATTTTTTCAAGGTGAAAACATATTGATTGCATTCATTGATTCACATATACTCATTTTACAGCTTCAAGTATGTTAACACAACATACAGTAACAAGTCGAAATGCTGCAAATATGGTTCAAAATTCTCCAGCTTTTAAAGATCATGGAAATCAAATTGCGACAGGTCTTCGTAATTTTGGAGAAAAAATAAATTTAGCAGGAAGACATTTACAAAACATGTATAATAAAGGTTCAACAGTATACAAAACATTTGATACAGATATTGAAGCGATGATAAATCGATTAAAACAAACCCCAAAGAAAGGTGACGCCAAATATTTTAGAAATAAATTAAGTAAGTTAATAAACAAAATTAAAGATTTTAGACAACATGTTGAAATGACTCAGAGTTCGATAGTAAATGCGGAAGAAACTAGACATGATACCGAAGGATATATTATTGATGGATTAAGGGAAGCAGAAAAATATATTAGCAATAACAATGAAGATTCACAGAAAACTGCTGAACTTAGTAGAGCTAAAAAAGAACTTCAATTTATTACAGATCTTTTAGGTCATTTGGATAGTACTGCAGTTCATCTAGATAAAATAAGAAAAATCTTAAGTAGTTATGAAGATAAATTGTTAAATGTTGAAGCTGAACTTGGTACTTTTGGTAAAGATGAAGAAGAAGGTATATTTGAAGTTAACAAAGAAGATATTAAGCATTTAAAGATTGCCGTCGAAACTTTAAAAGCTAGTCATTTAAAATTTAATCATCTTTCTAATTAATCATTTGTAATTGAATTTATCTTTCTTTTTTTTTCTTCTTTTTGGTTTTTTTTTTTATTTTGGTGAATGGGGGTTGAGGAAATATCGAGGTTGAGAGGGTTATGTTTATATTTCTTTTAACTGTAAAGTTTTTTTTTGAATAAATCGTCTTTTTTCATATAAACACTTACCGTGTTATATGACACGAATACATTCGATTTGCGCCACAGTGTGAAAATTCATTAATTGTTCTTTTTGGTTAGTACGGATTTACTTAAAGATAAATTAACTAAATACGTGTAACACTAAACAATTATTTATATATAATACAATCACGTAAATGAACTGTAAACATATGTATTTTTTTTAAGATGCAACTAAACGAAATAATCGAAATAATTTGTCAAATTAAAAATAATTTACCTCGAAAATTTCAGAATCGTGGTATTAAATTATGGATCGCAATATCAATATTTATTTTAATTTTCTCGATGACTTTAATGAATTGGACCGTAAGTAAAAAAAAAAATAGTATGTTTTAATGACATTAATTAAATAATTATTATAATTCTATTTCTATTTCTTTTTCAAAAAAAAAAAAAAAATAGATTTCTCCTAATAATAATGTAAAATCAAAACCAAAAACTGCACCTATTAAAAAACTTTCGGATACAACAATTGATATGTTTGATGATGTTAAAAAGTTAACAGCAAATACAACAGTAGGAGGATCAAATGGATTAGATTGTCGTAAAATAGCAAGTATGATTCAAAGGAGTCCAGCATTTGAATTTCATGGATGTCAAATAGCAACAGGATTACGTAAATTTAAAGAAGAAATATTAGTAGCAAATCTTTTAATACAAAAAATGTATAGTAAAGGATCAAGAGTATATGAAACATTTGATGAAAAAATTGAAGAAATGATAAAACGGTTTAAATATCAAAAAAAGGGTAAAACGGAATATTTTAAAGAAAAAATTAATTTTATAATAATAAAAATTAAAGAATTTAAACAATCAATAGAAGAAGCTCAAAATTTTATACAAGAAGTGGAAAAAACTAGAGATATTACTGCAGGTTATATTCATGATGGAATGAGAGAAGCAGAAAATTTTATTACTACTGAATTAGATTATTTAGGACATACAATTGATAAAGATTTTGCTATTAAAGAAATTATTATTATTAATAATTTTTTAGATCGTTTAAATAATATTGCGGATAAATTAGATAAAATGAGGAAACTTTTAATGGCTTACGAAGATAATTTATCAGATATGTCTAAGGAACTTGATAATAATAATAGAGAAGATGATGATGAAGATGGTATATTTGAAGTTAAGAATGAAGATCTTGTCCATTTACAAAATGCTATTGTTAGGGTGAAGGACAGTCATCGTAAATTTATCCAAAAATCTCTAATTACTTGTTAATAGCTTAATAAAGCTTATAATAGCTTAAATAGTTTAAATAGCTTTGCTGTATAGTGACGTAATTAAACTGCGGTTAAAAGCTATACTGCAGACTTCTGATTCATAAATCAATTTTTCTTTTTTTACTTTGTACCTAAAAATTTCTTTTTTTTTTAAAAAAAAATAAAATAAATTTTTTACAATATTAAATATGAAAGGATTAACGTTAACAAGTGCATTTGTTTTATTTTTCTCAATAATAATTTGGTTTGTAAGTAATAGAATATAAAATATTTACAAAAGTTTTTTTTTAAGTCCTTTAATAAAAAAGTCCTTTAAAAAAAATTAGGTATTTCTACGTGCAAGACCACCAACTTTTTTTTTAATGCAATTTTCTCATGTAACGAACGATATTTTCGAAGAAATTAACAATATTGAACTTCCAAGTAAAAAAAAAAATAAAATTCATTCATTCAATTAAATTCATTTTCGTGTTATAATATTAATCAAATTATCATTATAGCTAAATATACGGCCATGATAGAACATACAGTAACATGTCGTATAATGGCAAATAAGATTCAGAGAAATCCAATATTTAAATCTCATGGAGCTCAAATGGAAAAAAGATTACGTGAATTTGGAGAACGTATCAGGGAATCAGGTCATTTAATACAAAAAATGTATAGTAAAGGTTCAACAGTATATAAATCATTTGATATTGAAATCAAAGCGATGATTTATCGATTAAATCCAAATAATATACGAAAAGGTGATGCTAGATATTTTAAAGAAAGATTAAATGTGTTAATAAAAAAAATCAAAGAATTTAGAATATTAGTTCGACAAACTTATAATTCTATACAAAGAGCAGAAAATGATGGAAATGATACAGTAAATTATATTTCTGATGAGTTAAAAAAAGTCATTACTTTTAATATAGATGATGATGAAGATATTGTAGGAATTAAAAAAGAACTTGGCGGTATTAATAATATTTTAAATCATTTACGTGAAAATTATAGTAATTTAGATAAGATGGAAAAAATTTTAAAGGATTATGAAAATAAATTAACAGATATTTATGATGAACTTGATGATAGATATGATGGTATAGTTGAATTTACTAAAGAAGGTCTTGAATCTTTAAAATTTATTGATAATAATTTAAAGGATAGATTTGTAGACGTTGTACATGTATAATGTAGTGACGTCATTAAATTACTGATATATGTATATAATAAAGCTATAATTAGTTAAATAAAAAGTTGTGCGACAGTTCGTCCTTTTCTCTTTTTGTTTTTAAATCGTGGATTTTTTGATTATTTAATGAGATTTTTATGTTGATTTTTTAAAGTTGTGCAACAGTTCACAGTTCCTCTTCTTTTTCTCTTTATCTTTAAATCGGACAGATTTTTTGATGAAATTTCTTTTGATTTTTTAAAATTGTACAACAGTTCACGGTTCCTCTTCTTTTTCTCTTTTTAGTTTTAAATAAAGCAGATTTTTGAGGAAATAATATTTTAAACTTTTTTTCATTTTTACAATCGATATGAAAGGAGTAATAACCAGCGTAATAGTTTTGATTGTCTCTGTAATATTTTATTTTGTAAGTTTATAAAGAATTTATTTTTCTAAAAAAAATACATGAATAACATATATATTTTTTCTTTTAGGTATATGTAAAAAATAATGTATCTTTATTTCAAAAATTTTCTACTACAACAAATGATGCTTTTGAAGAAATTAATAAATTATCACTTCCAGGTAAGCTTTCATGTGAAAATATATATATATATATATATATATTTATTTATTTATTTATTATAATTAATTTTATTTTTGTTTTAGCCGCAAATACAATTATGGAACATTCTATTGCATTTCGTAAAGTAGCGAATATGATTCAAAGAAGTCCAGCATTTGAACTTCATGGATGTCAAATATCAATAGAATTACGTAAAATTGAAAATACAATAACCATAGCTGGTAATTCATTCATAGAATTTTATAGCGAAGGATCTAAAATATATGAAACACTTGATGAAGAGATTGGAAATATTTTAAATCGGGTAGATTCGAAAATTTTGATTTATTTACAAAATGAGAATAATTCAAAATATTTTGATGAAAGATTAAATATAATGATAAAAAAGATCAAAGAATTTAAAAAATTAGTGGATAATGGACGAAATTCTATATTTGATATAGTAGATAATATAAATAATAATGAAAGTAATTTTGAAGATGGAATAAAAGGAGCCGAAGAATTTATTAAAAATGGAGAATGTGATTCAAAATATTTAGTTGATATAATTAAAGCCAAAAGGGAACTTGAGATCGTTAATCACATATTAAATCATTTTAATAATACTAATGGTAATTTAGATAAAATGAGTCAAATTTTAAATAGTTATCAAGGTGATTTGTTGAATGTTTCCGATGAAATTAAAAACGTTAGTAAATTTGAAGTTACTAGAGAAGATCTTAAACATTTAAGATTAGCTTTGGATATTTTGAAAGAGAGTCATTACAAATTTATCCGAAAATCACTTAATTGTACTCTATGAATTGTACTTTTCATAAATTTGATTGAATAATTTTTTTGTTTATTTGTTTCTTGTAAAGTAAATATATCACATGATTTATCTCATATTGATTGATCCCCATTATTTCTTTTTTTACTATAGCCTCCCCATATAAGGCTTAAAAAAGTAAATAAATAAAAAATAATAACTATTTTAAAAAATTGTACGAATTATAATTAACTAATTATCAATGTGGCACCTAACTATTGTCAATAAATATATTGTCCTTAGAAAAGAAACAATGATTTTCGTATTAAAAAAATAGATTGTCATAGAATTGTTCGTCATTTGTAATCGGTTCTTCCATTTCTAGTATTGTATTATTTTTATATACACATACATTTCCCCTTTTCCCTTTTTTAATAAAGCAATAATGAATTAACAACGATTTAATGCATTTTTCGATCATTTTGATTGGTTCATCAAACCTTTATAACTTTTACGTTATTTTTTCATATAAAAAATCATCAAAATCACCAAATTTACATTATATTTCCTTTGATTCCTTTTCCTGATAATTTTATTTTTATTTTTTTTTGGCCTGGAGCTATTATATAATCTGCATTATTTTGTGGTTATACTTACATTATTACATTATTTTCGCTAATAGTTTTAAAACATCATGCCATCCTCCAACAAATCACCTTCTTTATTATCACTGAATTTCTTTACAATTCCTAACGCTTCTTTACTTACAAATTCTTTCTTATTTTCATCAACATTACTATTAACTAGTTTTATTTTTTTTACAAAAAATAAAAATAAACAACAAAAAGCTTGGTTTTTAACATTTTTAACATCAATAGTAATGACATTAGGTTCAATACCATTCTTATATCAATTGATTTTTAATGCTAATTGGAATGTTAATAATCTTCCAAGTGAATCAAATTTATCTATAATATTGGTTGGATTTTTTATGACTTATTGTATAATTGATTTATTATTGAGTAAATTCTTTTATGAAAATGAAATTAGTAATATAACCAATATGAAAGGTTATTTACATCATTTGGTTTATCTTGTATTATCGAGTTTTGTTATTTATAATCAAAGAACAGAAATATTTTGTTTAATGTCTATTTTTGAGGTAAATTTATGCTGCATCTTTTAGTAATTTTCAATTTTTTTAAATTTTTTATGAAATTAATGAAATTAATTACCATTTTTTTTTATAGGCTTCAACACTTGTTCTAGCAACTGGAAAAATCAATAACAAATCTCCTAAACAAGATCTTTTATATGCAACAACATTCGTTTCAACAAGATTATTATTTCATGCTATAATGATATACCTTTATTTTAATTATCATCAATCAAAATCAATTTGGTTGATATTATCCTTTCTTTATCCCTTTCATTGTTATTGGTTTTATGGTTTTATTAGACAAAAAGTCTATGCAAGAAATCGACAAAGAAAATTATCTCAATATAATAAAATGTTTTATAGTAAAAAAGAATTAGAAGAAGCTTTAAACAGTATTCAACCTAAACCTATACATTATTTCTTAGAAAAAGAAGATAATGATTCGGAAGTTGAAGAAAGAAGATCAAATACATTATTCACTTTAATATATTAAGTGACGAATACTCAATGATTGATTAGTAAATTAACAATGTAGATTTTGGGAATAATGGGGAAATTTATGTATATATTTATATTATTATTATTATTTATTGTATTCATTAACTTGGACTTTTGTACAAACATTTTTTAAATTAAAATATATTTATATATTTATTTATTTTAAAATATATTCTAATATGCTACATACATAAATAATTTTTATTTGTCATTTAAAACGCGTAAATTAACATGATAAAAATAAAAATATGATAAAATATGATAAAATTAATTATAAAACAAGTGACATGCAATCTAATGCAAACTACTGTCGACCTGATACTAAGACAACAGAAATTGATCGGCAATTCGCGTTACATATATAATTGAATCAAGTCCTATTATTATTTATGATTATTGTATGACATTTCCTGTCAACTGTTTTGTTTCTTACCGATAGTTAAAAAATGCAAAGCTACTCTTCATTTGATTCCACGGTTTTAGTAACACCGGGAAGTAGTTTTATGTTATCACAATCTCAACCACAAACACCAGTAACAGCAACAGGAAGTTCCTCTGAAATAGATCGTTTTCCAAGAGAAGAATTTTCATTCCTACCACATATTTTACAAATTCTTGATAAAGTAGAAACAGGTAAAAATGAACAAGAAATAAAAGCAATGGTACAGTAAATTTTATGTTATTTACCGAATTATTTTATCAGAAATCAGAATTAACATTTTTCTTTTTTTGTTTTTAGATGAGAAAATTAAAAGATAAAGTTAATCGATGTCAAAAAATATTAGATGATTTACCTGGAGCTGATTTATCAAGAGAACGACAAGAAAGATTAAAAAATGAAGACAAAGAAATATTAGAAAATAAAAAGTTTGTAGTTTTAAAATTAATGGTTTTAAATGACGTGAAAGAAGTTTATTTAAATTTTTTTTATTAATGTTCAATTTAGGAAAAGGCGTCAAAGATATTTAGGATTACAAATTTTTCAAACTGCAGCTGCAATATGTTATAATAATCAAAATATTCAAAATATTCAAAGTAATCCACCTAATCCAGATAATCCAATTAATCCACTCGATCAATCTAATCCGATTAATCCACTTGACTCACTTAATTCACTTGATTCACTTGGTTCAATTGATCCAATTGACTCACTTAATTCACTTGATTCACTTAATTCAATTTCAATTCTTCCACTTGATTCACTTAATACACTTGATCCATTAAATCTAATTGATCCACCTAATTCATCAAATCAAATTAGTCTACTTGATTCACTTGATACATTTGATGCAATTAATTCACTTGAACTTGAATCAATTAATCAAATTAATCCTGATACTACTACTACTACTACTACTACTACTGTAAATACTGTTCCAACAGAAGATAATAATCAGATGGACACTACTGAAGGTTAAAATAAAGGTTGTACTTTTTAAGATGATGTTTTTCTTAATGAAAATTAATAATAGATTTATAATTATTAAATAATTAATTTAATTTAACTAATGCATTAGTTATAAAGTCTTTTTCTTTATTGAATTAGATATACTAATTTTATAATAAGTAGATCCTTAACAATGCTATTATCATAAATATTTTATTAATAAATATAAAAAAAAATAATAATATATTTTTTTTTTACATTTTTTAATTAATATAAAATCATTGAATTATATTTTTTTTATTATAGTTTAAAAATAGTTAACAATTAATTAATGGTTTTATCTAATTTATTATAAAGTTTTTAAAAGTTAAATTTCTAAAATTTTTTTTTTTAATAATGGAATTTGCATTTTATAAAATTTTGGTTATAAATTTTTTTTAATATATAATTAACTATTAAAAATTGAATTATTATACAAAATTAGAAAATTTTATTAATAATTATCTTGTATTATACTTTTTTGTTAATGTTTTTTCTTATTAATAGTTAAAAAATATAAAGTTATCTTTTATTTAAATTATAATTTTAGCTATAAATATAAATAATAATAATAAAAACTAAAAAGTACTTTTAAAATAGATTATTTTTTAAAAGAAGAATTTTTATTTTTATTATATATTTTACAAATTTTTAATAAAGTAAAAATAGATAAAAATAAACAAAAAACAAAAACAATAATATAGTAAAATTTATATTATTAATTTACTTAAAGTTGATTTATTAAGAAATTAATAAAAAAGATTAATAAAAATAAAATAAAATTATATTAAAAAAATAAAAAGGTTGTAATTTTAAAATTAATAATTTTTAAATAATATAAAAAAAAGCTAATTTAATTTTTTTATTAACAGTTAATATTTAGTTTAAAAACAAAATATCAAAAAATACAAATTTTTTAAATTGCAATTGCAATATATATTATAATAATCAAAATAATTAAAGTAACTTACAAATTATTCAAATAAATTATTTAAATTATTAAATTACTTTATTTTTTTCTCAATTACTATAATAAATGAAATATATAAAAAAAATCTATATATATTATTTACTAATCATTTATCTTATTAATTACAACTAATTTGTTAATAAAAATTTACATTATTTACCATTTAGTTAAAATAATGACTTTTTATAAATTGATTAGTTTATTCAGTTTAGTTTATTGAATTTAATTAATTTAATTAATTTAATTAATTTATTTGATTTATTTAATTCAATGAATTCAATTAATTTATTTAATTTATTTAATTCGATTTTTTTAATTAATTTATTTAATTTATTTAATTCAATTCTTTTAATTAATTTATTTAATTTACTTGATTTATTATTAAATTTAAATATAAATTTAGTTTAACTAATTAAATTAATTTTAATAAAAAATAAAAAAAAAGTAAAATTTTCCATTGTAAATATAATATATTCCATTTTTCCTTTTTAATAATTTATATATTAATTATAAAATAAATTATGTTAGATTTTTTTAAAAAAAGTACTGTATATTGATAAATAAATTATTTTTTTAAAAAAAAATAGTTTTTATTTTATAAATACTATTATAAATTACTTTAATTTTTATATATTAGTTAATAAAATAATTTTATTATAAATAATATTAAAATTTTAAGATTAGTAGTCATTATTTATTTATATATTTTAAGATAAAATAATAATTCCAAATTTTTAAAAATTTTTAATTCTAATTTTTTTTATTAATATTAATATATAAAATCTTTTCTATAAATTTTTACAAATTAAATTGCCAAATATATTATATTACCTAAAGTAAAAAATAATTATGAGTTAGTTGAAAAAATCAGAATTCTTAAGGATTATATATTTATAGATAGAAAAAATCTTCAAGAAAAGATCTTAATTTCTAAAACATTACTAATAAGAATAATACTTCTAATTTCTTTGGAAATTAATTATAAATGAATTTTTTATAATTTATAAAACTATCTTTATTTGATTATAGATTATTACTTTAAATAATTATATGAATTGGTTAAATTATAATTAATTTTAAATGATCTTAAAAGTGAGTAAAATATTATTCTATTAGTTACATCTAACTAATCTAACTAGCTGGATAAATTACACTATAATATAATATTATTTTTATTATACAAAAATAATTTGTTAATAAATAATTATAATACAACTTCTTAAAAAAAATTTGTGTTTATGTCATTATCCTTCATTTATAGGTCTTAAAAGGCATAATTGCCTACTAATTTTCAGTTCTCATTTCTTTTATTATGATTTACAATAATGAATCAACTTTGAATTATTTTATTTTTATTTTTATTAATAAAGTAAAAATAGTATTAGCAATGATTATATAGAAACTTGATACAAGAACCAAATCGCCTAAAGACCACTTCACTTAGATGGAGATGGAAAAATTACCCCAAAGTTTGATTTATTTCAAAATACATGATCACACATGATCACATGATGCTATTGTTTATTTAAATGATCGACTTGAAGTACTACTATGACATAATTTTATCATCGGCGAAGTTGCTCCGCACGGGGCACATATAGCGAACAAAGATTCGGTATAATTATGTAGTATATATTAAGAGAATGCCGTCCGACTTTATGACCTCCCTTGGACTTTTATCTAATCATTTTTATTATGCCCGAATTTGGTAACCATATGTTTTACAGTCCGACAATTGCCGAAATGATGTTCATTTAATTTCAATAATTATTTGAAATCAAGTGATATAAATGTTTACATTCATTTATTCATTGGGTATTACTAAATGTTTATCAAATAATTAAAAATTTCTTTATAAATTAATTAACAAGTCTCTCAAGTAATAGCAAATTGAAAAATTGAAATTTACGTAAATCCAAAATCCTACGAAATTATCCTAAACTATACATCTGTAAAAATTAAAATTAACTAATTAGTCTTAATTTGAACTTAGCATTTATTCATCATATCAGTCAAATTCTTCACCTCCGAATTTGTCAATAATTTTCGAAAGCTTAAATACTAGTCAGCTATTTGTTTTGAGATCATATAATCACATAACATTCAATAAGTCCATCAGTAGCTCACCAACCCTTCCTAACAAATGAGTTACAATACCTCTTCTCGTCCTCCACCATATCATGCTACAATATGTGCCCGGGTTGGATGTCAGAATTCCTGTCTTGTGAATACCAATAATAAAACTTATCTCTTCTGTAGTGTCAACTGTGCTAAACTTTATCAAAGAGACATGACTCTAACAAGGTGCAATACTTGTCAGAATCAATTCTACGGCACGATGTGCCCTTATTGTTCGCATTCTTCTTGCATACGAGGTTCTCGACAGCCACGACGAAATATTAGGCTTGAAAGTGCACATTATTCAATTTCTGTCCAGGAAAATACTGTAAGTATTAATATGTTAGATATATTTTTGATATGTCTTCCATGAAAATTATATTCTAAATAATTTATTATTTGGTGTAAACAGCCATTGTTGCAATCTCAATCGTAAGTATTTTGTATTACTGTAGTTCGTTCGTGTATTTGAAACTAATAGATTTGATTATTTTTTACTCAATAGTTACGATAACAATGATGATGAGTGCGGAGAATTTATCGGTGGATGTTGCGGATGTTGTTGCATAATCATTATTTTAATTATTGTGTTTCTCTCCGGGGTTTGGTCAGCAAATCATATACATATTCATGATTTGTTATTCCCTTAAATAATTTGCCATTTAAAAGTATTCCGATTTCAGATATATAAATATATATTATAAACCATATTGTCGATATTTCATAATATTTAAATGTCTTAATTTCATCTTTTTCAGCTTTTTTTCCAACCTAGCTAATGAATGAATACGACAGTATATTAAAATTGTATATAATTAGAAAACTACATTTATTCCCGTAAAGTCGCGTTAATTATTACCGAAATTATTAAATTATTTTTTAAAGTCTATGTTCTTTAAATATCTATCTAAATAATTGATTCTTTCCTTAAACTGTCAAGTTGTATCATTTATTCAGTTTATTAATTATATAAAATAGAAAATTAATAATACAAAACCTCATCTCCATTTAATTCTGTGCCATATGCTCGGGCCGCATTATAATTCCTGTCTTTATCCCATCGGTATTATGTATGCCCCGATGTTAATTACTCCACACTGTAAATAAAATTCATCAGTGTATACGTCATACACAATGATATCTAGGAAAAACTCCATACACACCTCGTGAATATTTTAGTTATTCACCGATATCCGTATGTATGTTAATAGAGTCATCTTGTAGGTATTATTTTAGAGCTATTTTGGTTGATTAGTACTGTATATTGATTCCAATATCAATTCTGAGTCTAGAAAATTCTGTAAGTAATGGATTTGGCTTATCATAATAAATTTAAATTATCATTTATTTTATAGAACAATTGCTATACTGCTATAAATACTCCTCGCAACAGTATATTCATTCGTTCTTTATTAAAAGAAATTTATAATTCAAGTTTATATCAAGTTTTAAGCTTAAGTTTTCGTGACATAATCAAAAATATTTAAAGCAAATTTCTATCATACATATGATAGCTTCCATTGCAGTTGTATTGAAATAACCTCAGAAATATTACTGAGGCTCGCAAATATAATCTTTTGTTATGTATTGTCTCGATGATTTATTTCTTATCGCGACAAAGTTTGTATTTTTATAATTTACTAGTAATCCTATAATGTAAATACTAAATTTTGGAACTGGTAATAACAGTTAAATATCTTTTTATGGAACAAATATTTATGGTTTCAGTTATTTCATAATCATTCCTTATCTGTATTTATGATACTAATTAAAAAACTATCTAATGGATACCACCTGGGCCATACTTATGATGGCTAATAACGCCTGTATGATGTGTGTAAAGTGGTTGAAAATCTACATTTTTTACTAATTGATAATTATCAACGTCTGTATCATAAACATGAAGTTCATCTTGATCTAATGGGCACCCAACTGGATCCATCGATATGCAATATCCTTCCAAGACCAAGGCTCACCAATACTTGGTAAAATTTCTCCATTTTTCATAGGTCCACGACTAATTGCAATATCAGCAAATGCGGAGCCCATTTTATTAGCAGGTGCCATCATTCTAGTAATAAAGGGACTATTTTCAGGTTGATTTGGTATAACCATTCGGTGTTCATTCTTGTCACAAATTAATGCTTTCATTATCCAAATTGGATCATCTTGATCGAACCACCTAAAAATTATTGTTATAACGTCGGTAAGATACTCCTTCCGCTTCTTAGAATGTATAAGATTAATGTTATTCTAAACATACCAATGAATGTCTTTTGTTATAATACTATCAGGATCTTCAGGATTAGGTCCAGTTAATATGTGGCTGTTTTGAAAGAATTATTAGTACTAATTATAAAATACTGTTTATAATTATTCACATAAATGTTAGGTATCCTACCTATGTCCCAGAGTGGCATATTGATTATTTTTCAATGTTGTAATAAGACGTCTCATTTCGGTAACGATATTAAGAGACAATATTGGATCTGACGGTTTATTATTAGGATCAAGAGAACGGATCCATTCATTCCACAAATTAAGCTCTTCTTCAGTAAATACCTTGTACATGGGCCCATCCCAGGTTGTTAAACGAGACAATATTGGAGAATTTTTTGGATCTCCTTTCACAACATATGAACTCTCGACTAAAGCATCCAAAAAGCCTTCTGGGTTATTGAACAATTCATTTATAAATTTATCTCCAAATTTTCGATCATTATGATTACGACTCGCATAAGGAGCTTTGTGAGCAATCATTTTAATCATTCTTTGACGTAGATCTGGTTTGCCTAATTGTGATTTACCGATGTTAACAATATTATGAGATAATGCATGGTCATAAATCATTGTGTGCGATGGAAATTCATATCTACCGATTCTTTTTTGATAAAGCATTTCTTCGAAATCCCTCGCAAGTGTTCCAGCACTCCATAACTATGTGCAATATTGTTTAACAAAAAAAAGAGATTTCAAGCGTATAAAGCGTATAATGAAGATTAACGCTCACTGAAGCAAATCCAATCCAAATACGTCTCCAATGCTCTTGGACGGCATCATCCCCACCATTTTGTCTCACATGATCTAGATAGAGTTCGATGGAACGTTTTGCATTGGCACCTTAAGTAAATAATAAGTATACAATGTTAGTAAAATTTTCGTATTAAAAGTATTTATAACTTTTATGACAAACCTTACCATGACCTGAAGAAGCATTATCAATTGCAACATGCATTTCGTAAAAATGAGGGTTCAACCCGTAATATTTGAATAATTTGATATTTGGTGCTACTTCTAATACAGTCCATTCGATTAAAAGGGTAAAACCAAGGATTTCAGGAAAGAACAGATCGGAGAATTGAGAGATACATAAAGACAAAGCTGGTACTATCGATTCAAATAAAGCGAAGGATTATTGTATACTCTAAAAATATACATAACAAAAAAAGTTTTAAATTACTTACTTGAGAAAGCCGAGTCAAGAAATCTTGGATCTTCTGCATAGGCTCTCTGATATACTTCAGGTAGATGTATACCACAACTTGCGAGCAGAGTAGTATATAATGTTGAATGATTATGCTCGGCTTTACCATTACCAAGCTCATCTTGCAAGATTTCAGAAAGAAGCGATGTGATCTCATCGGTTGGACCTTACAATAAAGATTAAATAATTACCAAAATATAGTGAAACTAATGATAAAACAGCGCAATTTACCTAATTTAACTGCATAACGTAACCAAGCACCATCTGTCTGATTGAAAGGTGCCCATTGGCGGATACTTTCTATTACATCCTTACGAGAATTATAGATAGGATCGTTTGCTGGTTCATACTTATCCACTTCTTCTTTTACGTAAACGTAAATATGTTGCAAACGTTTGTTAAATGCATCTTGAGTAAATTCAAAGTGTTTAAGCAATTTCCCATAACGTCCTAATTCAGATGGAGGGTTCTCGATTAAAGATTTCGCCTGTAAGTAGAGAATAAATTTTCATCGTTTCTATGATAAGAAAATTTTTTACTCTCAAAAATAAAATTATAGTATCGCATAACTGACTTTGTCAAGATAGTCGTATGCCATTTTTTTAGCTGTCGGCAAAAATTCGGGGAATGATTCATTGTTTAACAACTATAATGTAAGAAAATCTCTTGTAAAATTTCTATGCTTTAAAATTCACAGTAATTTAGAAATTACCTTATAGAAAGCTTCTCGTTCAGGTGGAAGTCCTTTTTTCTTGCCGGTTTCCATCCATTTTTTGAATTTGTCGATTTTTTCTTGATTCCATTTACCACCAGCACCTGATGGTGGCATTTGACCGGAGGTTAGCCTTTTGTAAATTTCATCTGCTTTATCACAAACGGCTTCATAGTCATAAAGGTCGAAGCTAAAATACATGCAGTTACGATCTTTCTCTCTAAACAAAGGTTTAATATCTTGATAAAAAGTTATTTCTTTATCCATTTTGATTTGTTTTACTTAAAAAGCTGTGCTTTTACAGGATATATGCTATATGGACTTTATATTCATTCCCATGAAATACCTTTTAACTGAGTATGTGGGTGCGTTTATATTTTCGTTACACGTTTTGATGAAATTCATTCACATGAAGGGCGAAAAAAAGGATAATATTAATTGATCATTGGTAGAACTTTGTTCTTCCTAAAGAAGTTAATAAATGGAAATTTCAAGAGATACCGCAATTAATATAAACAAACTTTAATTAGAAAATTCTTATGATTATTTATTTATGCGCCTTTTCATAAGATTTTAATTTAATAACGAATTAATCGGTTAAATGATATATTTAACCGATTTTATGTAACAACGCTTGCCAATTTATGGTTAAAATATTATTACTTCATTTTAACAATACGAAATTTCAATCTTAGCTCGGCGTTCTACCATATAATCTATTCAATAATTAATTATTTTCATTGATAAGTGTGTCAAAAAAAGTCTGGATGTCACTTTATTAGTTGTCATTCACACACAAAGTTATACGGGTAATTTATGAAAAATGTAACAATCAATAAACACGATTTTGAACCTCTAGTACTTTGTTCAACTATTTATGGATATGGAACCGAGTTGTTTAAGTAAAAGAATCTTTGTAAGTTAGCAGACATAATAGAAAGAAATTCTATTGTAATCGTATATTTTTTTAATAATTAAGATCCTTCTTATTTTTATGAATTTAGTTTCCACTATCGAATTCCTAAAAATAATAATTAATAAAAAAAAATTTCATTCTTTTTATTAATAATATTAAATTCTCGTTCAAAATTTTTTTGGTCTAATGTAAACTTTAAATAAATAATAAATTTACATACTGTACTGTATATATTTGCTTCCCTAAAAAGAAATATTTCTTAATTCCATTTTGATCTACGCAATAAAGTAGCTATTTAAAATCCTTGATTCTTCTCTATATCGATACGATGAAATAATTTATTATAAACGGAAAAAGCCTTTATGTTTAGTGAAACATGGCATTGCAAATAGATTAATTAATTTATCGTAAATTTCTTTACTACATTTTGATGAAAGTTTTATGGAATATCTTTGTCCGTTCAGCTGGATTAAATCTCAATCTCAGGGTAAATGTTTTTCTATTTACCTTCATAATTTGTCCTTGCACATACAAATATTCCCATTGTATCATTCATAACAAATTTGATTATATTTTCTTCATGAATATTCCTACTTTTAAAAATACTGGTTGTATAATTTTGTATATATAAATATTAGTTATAACATTAGTTTTAAAGAATTTCAATAGTACAATTATAAGCTAAAATCAAAAAATAGCCTGTTAGTATTTCAACCTGCCTGCCATATATACCAATAAATTCTCAGGGAAAATCGATAAGTAAAGAAAAAGAATCTTCAAAGTTCACTATGATCAAATAAATAACGGACATTATCATTATAGGACAAACGTGGTTTATCAAAACAAATAGGCCTATTATATTTACAAGAGGATTTAGCGTAAACTTTCTTTTTAATCGTCTCTGCTTTGGCCATATGTGTGGATAATTTATCTGTTAAAGCAAGATAATAAGAGCTACATCCTTCACAGCAAGCCGATACTTAATATTCGTCCCATATATTTGAAAGGAGGCATAAGTGTAATGTCAGACATACATTAGGAACAGTGATATTGTTAAAGGATAAGGATGCATATTGAATATACATAGGACGAGGCGCATACAGCCTGTTTATGTAATAAATTATGTACATTAGATAGATTATAATTATATTATTGTTTTTTTACTGCCTCATAAAATTTCTGTGATCATACCCACTAGGTGTATAATAAAATTCTCTAAGGATAATATCCTGTTCTATTTTAGGAACATGAGAATTTGAATCCATTTGTTATAATCAACAAACTTAAATTTAACCTAGAATAAAATGAGAAATATCTTCAATACTTTTGGTAGGTTGGTATAGATAGACTTGCAGAAGGAAAATCTCCTGTTTAAAAAATAAGAGTCAATGGGCGTAGAGACAGCATACCTTGAATTATTAGGCAATAAATTGCGGAAAAATTAGTACCAATAAAGAAAAATCTGAAACTTGTAAATGATCTAGAATGCTGCGAGCGGTATCTCATATCTTGAAAAAAATCTTGTTTCACGTGCAGGATGAGATAGAAAGATTAAAGGCAAAATGCTAGTCAGCCCACCTTGTATGAGTTAGAAAATGTTGCTAAGGGAAGAAGCATTGGTTGCTAAGGATAATCGGATCATTCATTTAGAAGACATGGATGTCAAAAATCGCATTCTAGAACGATATGATGGTATTACACCGCAAACTATAGCTAATAGCTTAACAGAGGATCAGTTCTAGTAGTTGCGCAATTATAGATAATTTATTTAATGCAGCAACCCAAGATTAAAAAAATGAAATTATTCGGCATGCCAATATATTGCAAACCATTGGCCAAGATCAAAGATGATGCACATTGACATGAGCAAACCCTTAGGAAAGAGCTAAATACTTCACTTGCGGATGTACTGAGAGCAAGACGAATGTTAGAAGATGCATAAATGATGAAAGTGACGAAAGAAATGCTCGCAAATATTGGCATGATACTACTCAACAAAATCAGGGACGAATTAATGGTTTATTAATACAAAATTTGCATTTCAATTAATTAATCAAAGAAAAAATCATCAAATTACAGAATATAGAAGAAATAATCGCAGATGGACAGTGAGATATAATAATGATACAGAAAGATGGAGAAGAATGAGTAATGGTTGTATTCGTCAGGCGCAACACTTGAAGGGACAATTCCGAGCTTCACAAATCCATATTAATAATTTACAACAAATTTTTGTCTTACAAAATCCAAATATGGCTACAATACAAGATATCACAATAACATTAGCCCCACATCTTGCTGCTATGTAGGGACAGAATCGCCTGATGAATATTATAACAAGCTTAGAGATATAAATGAATTGGCACGACCATTGGCAGCTGCGGAAATTTCCATCCGGTTCCTGCGAATAGTCCATTTAATGGAAATGCTATTCTGGTTATCCGGATGATCACCCAAGAAAATCAAACAGAATTTGGAAAATGAGTATCAAAGATATATCGTGATAGAAAGGGACTTCGCACGAAGATTTCTAGAACAATGAATTATCCAAATTTTCAGAGTTACCAGGTGTAGTGCTAATTATCTCAGGGCTCCCTCCTGATAGTAGTTTTGGATGTCTCATGAGTCTCATCCCCATCAATTTTGATAAATATAACAAATTTTCGTGCACCGTATGCCAAATTACTAATATTATATTTGCTACACAATAACACGGAAAATTACATATATACGACCGAATGAGATGACCCAGTATTCTCTGATTAACTTTTCTGATAAAATGGATAAAAGGATAGTCTGATAAATTTGAGCAGGACAGAAAACTTGCGTTTGCAGATTGGATTGCTGACGGTTGCCCATTCGAAGAGGACGAAGAAGTTTAGGTAATTGGAAATAAATTCATTATACTATCCATCCACTCTATTTTTTATAGTATATGTGTATCAATCATTTTCTCATCTTCAGATAATCCATAAAGAATTCACCTGGCAATTTTAGAACTTGAATACTGATGTTTTATTATATATTGTATTGTAAAGTTTTATTATGATTATTTTCACCGTTCAATTCCATACTTCCTAATTTTATAATAAGAATGACATTCCATCTGACCATCTTGGTTTTATCAATTGAGTTTGAAGTATTTAATTTGTATAATTCACGAGAATAATGATTTAATAATGGGTGGTAATTACTTAGTACGTGTTGCGATTAGAGAAAGGTCAGGGAAGAGCAATATTGGTCCTATGCAGTTCATAATAAATCACAATAGTCACAAAATTTTGTGATAAATAATTTTGCAAATTTTGATTCTTTTATAAAATATCCACACAATTTCCATATGATTTCCATATAATTCTGGGCTGCGGCATTTACTATTTAGTAACGGGAGAAGTTACTGTAAAATTTATAGTTTATTCTGATAAAGTTATATGAAATCATCGCATAATATCACAAAATTTTATGAAAGTGTTACAAAAATCTCAAAATTCACGGAAAATAAGTTCATTTACATAAAAAATCATTCGCCTGATGGACCAGAGATAAGTTGGACGAACGTGATATTATGTATGATAAAAAAAATTTACATAGTAAACAAAAACATCAATGTGAAAACTTTATTATAAATTGATAATCCTTCAAATATCAATCATATCTCTCTTTCCTTTTATTTTTCGTATTAGTTTTGTGGTATATTGGAAAGTTTACTAACTCTTAATCACACAGGTTATTTTTACATGATGAATAATAGCTCACTCAATGATTCACAAGTATGATATTGTGATATTGTAGTTCATGAAAAAGGAGATCTGCAGCTATAATCACGGTCATTAACGATGCGATTTTTGTAAGGTGGTTAATGTCTTTGAAAACATTGGATATACTGTATTGCGTTTGTAAAAAAGTTGATGGTACATTTACCATAGCGTTCTATAGTTTCTATAGCATTGAGTTTTTGTATAGTAAAAGTTATGTAAATAAATTCTCATATTATGCAAGTATTGAATCTGGAAGAAAGTTAATACTGTTAAAAATATCCCGTGAAAGAGAAATTGTATCACATACAATGCAATTATATTGCAGAAATAAAGTAATATATTATTTTCGTTAATGGATTCAAAAAAAATTCTCTGATAGTTTCTACTTCAAAAGGATCTTTGAATCTGAAAGGTTCATCATGTAAGAAAATTCCTCAGTTCGTGCATCAAACAATCATTGAAGGTTATGCAATTTTTGGTTCAGTTTTAAGATTTTAGTTTTCTGCCAATTCCTTGAATTTGCTCTAGTGTATCAACCTTTCCAAAGAGTCCTTCTAAATATAGGCTTAATTCATCTTGTATAATTGTTACTCTCTGAAGACTCAAACTAATTATTGACGTTATTAATTCAGCTGGATTGGCCAATTATGGCGAGAGGCAGTACGTAGTGCAATAAGAATATCATAATTGCCACGAAGAAATAGACAAAGAAGATATTTGGATTAAACCAGATGGTTGTTTGACTGTTGGGTCACAATACAAAGAATAGAAGGTACATTAGGGTATAATAGGTTTTTGAGTTGCATTAT